CCTGCAGCCCCCGTGGGGACAGTCCGCCATACACTATATGCTTTTCTTCAACCTCACTTACGACTTCCTAATTCAACATATACTATTAATTCAACATATCAACCTCAACGATTACCTGCCCGAATGAACACTCCCGGGCTTTTGCAACGTTTTACGGCGGCACGACCATGAAGACCTCTCAACGATTTCTTCCCTGAGCGTTTCTTTTATTTCAACATGACATCTTCACCTTCCAAAAATTATACCCCCAACCCCCAATTTTCGGATTTTTGCTTTTGCAACCTCATCGAGCATGGAAAAATAACATCTTCAACACTATTTTTATCTATTCATGATAAAGCTCTTTTCCCGAAAAAAGTGAAGAGCTTTCTTATCTCATTTCTATTACTCTCTTTTTGTTCTTCAACTCTGCCAAAAGAGACGGCTTACAGAAAATACATTTCCGGGGGTATTCACGATCTTCAACACACTATGGATGACGGAGTTGGGCTTTATGCATTTCAACAAAAAGTGATCCTCTTCAACATGGGATTTGGAACGGAGTCTTCTTCTAAATGGAGCATTTGATTTTTTTTTTCCCCTTCCCTTTCTTGGGCTCTCTACTTAATCAACTCTCTCTTTTTCCTCCCTTTTATTCGCATCTTACCTTATATATCCGGGTTTTCTTCTCTCATCTTTCCTCTCTGCATTCAACATTATTGCATGCATCCTTGTTATTGTTGTGGTGGTGAAATACAGGTGCTGGCTAGGCGAGTATTATAATGCCTAGCATTTCTCTTTTATAAGTCAATAGAAGCCATGATTTTCTCTCTGTTCCATATTTCGTTCCTTTATTTTTGGAGTCGATAGAGCCCGATGCGTGCTGCTAGTAAGTATCAGATATAGCTATGCATTGAATATTTTTGAGATCAGATTCAAGTAGTACTAGAGGTGGCTTTATTATTCCGAGAGATTAATGCATTTTATATCTATGGTATGGAAGGAAAACAAAACATGAAGCATGATACATTTCATTTAACATTGAACAAGTCGCTAGACTAGACTAGGTACAGGCTGAGGTAACAATGGATACACACCGCATTACGTTAAGAATACTCGGAGAAACATGATACATGATAACCAACCCACATCGACACACGGTTGAGCAAGGAACATTCATATGCTTCCCCATCGCGCTTGAAGGAATAAATGGAAGCGAGCAAGCAGAAACTGGAGTTGCCTTAGCATAACCCGAGCTAAGGGCCGCTTTATATCAACAATCAAACCAATCAAACCCATCGAAAGACCAGCTTATACCAATAGAGCCCTTCCTAATGCCCCTAGTAACCAAGCAAAGGGTCTTGCAAACCACACGATCCAGCTTCCGATAAGGACCACGTATCCGGCTGCTCGGCCGATGATCATCATGACGAACCCAAGGGCAATGAGGTAGACCATAGCTTTGCAGAGATCGATCAATGACCGGGCGAAGTCCTCGCGGTTCGGCTTTGGCCAGGATCCTGTTGTATTGTAAAGGGCCAGGATCCCCAGGAGATCTTTGAGGACATGCAAGCAGTGTTCGATCATCTTCAGGACGTTATTAAAGGCGATCTTCACTAGCATAGCCCGAGAGTGCCGATTGGCCATGATTTCGTCATAGAGACCTTGCAGCTGGCCAGAGAGTTCTAGAAGAGCATCCCTGACATAGCCCATTATCTCCTGACTTGGCGCTTCCTTGTTGTTGGTAGGCAACCCGGTGGTATGAAGATCGGTATTGAAATCAGTAATCTTAGAGTAAAACAACTCTTTTGCTGTATCAGACACTTGTTGGCCATCCAGTTCAGCAACTTCTATAGGTTCAGCCTCTTGTGGAACGCTGTCCTGCCTAGCCCTGTCTTTGCTTATCGAGGCCGCAGGAGAAATCGTCTCGGGGGTCGACGGCTTCTCAACGAGTGTCGTATCCGACGCGCTCTTCAATGAATTTGAATTGTCTCTTTTAGGCGATACACTAGCAACATAGGGTTGCTGATTATAGCGCACGGGATCACCGGAGTTTCCTGTTTTGGGCCTGGGCAGCCCTTGCGTACGGATGAACCCACGAATAGCGCGAGGTCTTTGTGGAGAGGTACGGTCGGATTCTGTTCGACTTTGAGGGGATGGATGTGGATTGGTAGGAGGGACTGCAGTTGAAGATATTGCGCATGGCGCATTTGACTTTCCCCAAGAATTTTGGGTCGCCCTTCGCAAGCCTGATGTCGAGCTGCTGATTGTCTGTTTTACTCGAGAGTCCGATATTATCTCTCCTGCGGCGCGCGAGGTGGGCTCCTGCGCGTCTGATTTCTTTGGGCTGCTTCTCAAATCTGCCATGGTCACCATAGTGCGTGTGATAGTGGGTGTGATAATGAAAACATCGTCCGACTTGCGGCCCAATTTCTGCTTGTCGTGTTGTTTGGCTGTGTTCTCTGACGGATCCAGATTCTCTGTCATAGACGCTTTGGCAGAGACCTCTATCTTCTCCGGCGGGCGGCATTTGGCTTCTTGACACATTGTCTTCGGCAAGGACTTCGAGCATTGGGCTTGTTTCAAATTCTGAGAAATTGGTTTCCATTCTTCTTGAACGACAGCTTTCTCTGGAGATGTCGACGTCGCACGATTGCTGGTGATTCGCTTCCCTTCCTTTGACATCTTGGACCGTCCGGACGGGATGTCTATCATTCTGGGGCGCTCGTCCGTCATCGAGAAGAGCAGGATCTCGTCTGGGTTCTTGTCGTATGGCCCATTGATCTCCTTGCACCCTAAAAAAGACCCATCTGGGTTTGCAGCGGGGGTTTTGTTTGCAGATTTTGTGGGAGCCTCTTCCCATATAGTGCTGAACCGTTGCTTTCCGACCTCTTCTGGGCTATAATACCGGCGGTGTCCAGCTGAGCAGTTGGAGTCACTGACTTCAGATGGGCGGCCGATACGTGTATCCTGACCATCAAGGCCCGTTGACGTCTTTTCTTGCCCAGTAGGATTGTTAGTGCTGTCCTCGGGAGTTCTGGTACGCGGGCTGGGGAGGGTGTCCGGATCCAGCATCTCCCCGCCTTCCTTATGGACTTTCTCGATGCTTTGCTGGAAATCGGAGATTTGTTGAGTACTCATAATTGGCGGGTTTGGCTCCTTAGCTGAGGGCATATTGACAACGAACTTGTCTTCCCACTCGGTTAGGGAACTGGACGGGGCAGATATCGGAGAAACTGAGGGATGTGAGTGTTCGGAGGAGTCGGTGTTGGTGTCTGTCCTTTCAGATGATATTGCCGGTGTGGAGTTGCTGAAGTTCAGATGCGTTCGTTGAGTTCCATTGCTTGGCCGCTTTCTTTGACCAGTAGAGAGACCTGCTCCTCCTTCTCTCGCACTGCTCCCGAAATTTGTTCGACCGTCGTTGGAATTTGGAATCTTTGTTGGAGGGCTCGGGCCTTGGAGGACTGTTCTGTCGCCCCGAGGCGCCCCTCCTGCCAGCTTCTGTTTTTGTTTGGCAATCTCCTGTCTTGGGGAGTTGGCCAGTGAAACTATCTTTCGGTAGGCCTCCTGGTAGTAATCCTTCGGCTTCTCTTTAGTGAACGACCCTCCGGGAATCTCTTTTTCAAATCTATCCTTTACTTTCCGCCAGTATTGGTCACGATCGTTGTCTGATCTCTTGGGTGATGAACGCTGCAGTGCCCCGAATGACCTCTTCGGCTGGAGAACTCTATCTGCACGGTGACCTTTCTGTTCAGAAGTTGTGGGGGCTTCCTTTGGTTGCTGTTTCTCCTTGTCGGTAAAAGACTTTGGAAGGGGTAGTTTTGTAGGGGTTCTCTTTCGCGGAGCCGTGCCAGGTGAAGCGCCGGTGCTCTCTTTGCTTCCAGACTTGTGCCGTTCGTCAGGTTTGGGCGTAGATTCTTGCACTCGCGTGGGTGTTTGTACCTCGTTACCGACTCTTGTCCGCTTGCCGTGGCGGGGCCGAGGCTGAAGATTTAGCAGATGTCCATTTGGTAGATGCAAGAATTCCTCCATCTTCACCCGTTGAGGACTGCTGCAGCCCAAGCAGCTTCGACCTTAAAGCCAGACAGCGTCAAAACAATGACCCATTCCTCCACCAGCGCTGGAATATCTCTCAATGCACTTCTTCTCCGGACGAGTGTGTGCAGAATTACCCCCGTGCAGGCGTTGGGCGTTTGGTCGGTGGTGTGGTTTCATCGGAACGCGACAGGGGTCTGGAAAGAAAGCTGGCAGGGCAACCCCATCACTGGGCGCGTTCCGCGTGGTAGGGTAGGGATAATGTATGTAATGATAAGGGGTGGAATGTATAGTACGCCAGGGCTGGCCACTATTAGGAATGTAGCAACGGGCGGGTAGAGGTCTCCAAGGAATGTAGGCCTGGACCTGTGACATAGTTCGGTATGGAAACTGCAAGCATCGCGCAGCTGAACTTGCTGCTTCCATTTGTCACTTGCGAATTCCTGGTGTGGAAACAGCGAACGCCACAGGTTCACGAACGTGAAGGTGCAATCATAAAAGGTGACTAGTTAGATGCTGCCGGCGATATAAAGTATGCCATTAACGAGGGTCGAGGATGCGCCGATGTAGAATTGCTTTTGAATGCGGAACTTATATCCGTGAATTTGAAGTCGTCCAGCCTCGTATTAAGCATGTTGCTCAGCGGCTGGATCACTATCGGCCATCAGTAAACCCCAGCCTACATTCTCAAAAGAGCCCGGGCATCCATTGTTTTCAGAAAGATAATCCAAGCAAGTGGCACAAGGGCGAACGGGAAGTCAAAAGACAATGAAAAAGCTTTTAATGAGAAACAAGGATCCGAAAGCTTGGATGATTAACGCCGCACCTGATGCTCCAAAAGTAGTCCACGGTCACAAGAGGTACCCGGTCTTAATGATGACCTGATCACAACGCCGAGATGATGTTATAGCATACTATACATGAGAGTTACTCCTTCCATGCTACTGTTATGGTTGGCGCATGACGCCTTAATCGAACAACCCATGTTAAAACCGTCCACTGTCGCGGCGTGCGTCCAGTTGACTCCGTCTCGGTCCCGGTGTTAAGGGACTGCCTGCGGGGACATTACTTCTCTTGAGGGGACTAGAGGGCCTTCTCATTGCACTTGTCCCCCGCTCCTTGTAGAAGAAATCGCCATTGCTCTGAAGACGACGTTCAAGAGTGGCTGACGTAGACTTCTTCAGAGGCGAGTTGGCATGCGAGTAAATGCCAAGGCTTCCACCATCACCCGTAGTCGTCGGTGTCTGGCGGAATTGGGGCTGGCGAATTGCAGAGATAGAGTTTCGCACAATAGGAGAAGCATCCCGCAGGTGGCTTGGGGTCTGCAACGCGGCAGCACGATGAGATACTCCAGTAGGTGTCGCTGCAAAGGATTGGCGCGCAGATGATCGGCCCTCGGGGTCCACATGGTTGACGTAGTTGGGATTTGGGCTTGTCTTGAAGCCTCTATGAAGCACGACAGTGGGCGTGAAGGTGTCAACCTTGTTCTGCTTAACATCGGGATCGGACTCGGAGAATTGAGTGGCCACATCTCTCATTAAAGGCTGAGTACGAGGATGAACGTATTTAGTGTCGTATTCACGGAGCACCTCCTTATGAACCACCATAGAATCCTTTGCTTGCTGGGTATAGGACGAGGAAAGGAACGTCATCTGTACCGAGAGGAGTGCCGCTATGAAGATAGTGGTCACAATCGTCACGCTTGGTCGAGGATCGGATAGCTGAGTGGGTAGAAAAACCCAGTATACCAAGACATGTCCAGGACTGAAGAGGCAGAACAATCGAATGCAAATAGGTAGAGGATCCCAGACGGCAAGTTCCCATACATCTCGCTGTGCGTCTGGGTGAGCTCTCGACTGGGCCGATCTGGCTATCGTATCCGCCAGATATTTCAGTGGCGAAGCGGTCACAGGAGTCGAATTAACACGGACTCGGTGAGCGGAGGGAGTTGCAGGAGCCTGATCGATTGATGCTTCAAACATGCGATAATGTCGCTTCCGGTAAAATGTATAGAAGGCGTTGAACGCGGTGAAGGTGGTAAGAAGGTGGACAATGAAGGAAGACTATCAACCGTTACGTTAGCACTGGAGCACATAGAGGCGTATATTCATTCACAGCAAACTCGAAGTCGATCAGGCGTCACATACAAACCAACTGAGCCATGGAGTGCTTCCATCATCGCCAAAAACATCATCTATGGCTTGACTGCCGTACGATTGACTGTTGGCCCTGGCGATCAGAAAGATCGCATTCAAAGCTACTCCCAGGGGGAGCGCCCAGTTCTTCTCAAACTGGTCCCAGTCATGAGTATCAATCTCCTCCGACAGCCACAAGAGAAAGTCCAGAGGGTTCAAGTAGGACTTGATGCGCTCCGTCAACGGTCGGCGGCGGACAAGCCGGGGCATGGTGAGAATGGCGACGCGGGATACTTGATAATCAGAGAACAAGAGTTAGAGCCATAGCCCGCAGATAAAGCACCAAGATACAGAGGATATAGAGACCAACCTTTGGTGAATATGATAGTTGAAGCCGAAGTTTTCCTTTTCCGCTTGTCAACAACAAAGGGTGGAGCGCGACCCCGGCTTAGATAAGCGACACCGGCGCCATTATGACGACGTCTCCCGCAAGACAGTCGGGATTGCCAGACTCGCCAGGGACCGATTTACCTTCTTTATCGACTCAGGGCGACGCGAGCTAACTGTAGCCGCAGAAATTCGCCAATATATAAGCAGCTCACAGTCTTTACGCCCGCTTCTTCCCTATTCTCAGAACCATGGCGGCCCCGGCCGTATCATACAAGGTAATATCCCGAGGTTTCCCCTCTTCCTCATTGCCAGTAGTCACTCACCATATACACCTTATCTAGGACCGGCAGTTCCTTGCGGTCATCGGAGATGAAGAGTAAGTCACATCATCACTACCTTATGAGAGAAACACTTTCACTAACTGTTTAATTTTAGCTCCGTAACAGGTCTCCTCCTTGCCGGTGTCGGTGTACGTATCCTCAAACCACGGCAGCCAGATAACGGCAAACATGCGACTACAACTAACATGATACATTGCAGCATGTCACAGATGGCGCAGATGCCCAGCGAAACTTCCTTGTGGTAGACTCGAAGACTGAGACCGCCGCGATCGAGAAAGCATTCCAGAACTTCACTCAGGAGAGGAAAGATATCGCCATTGTCCTTATCAACCAACATGTATGTGCTTTGTTACACTTCACAGTGTCCTTAACCTGCAACGCCTGCGAAGCATACAATTTCCTGGGTGTTTATAGCTCGTCGCTGACGATGGAATACAGATCGCAGAGCGGATCCGGCACAGCGTCGATTCCTACGCCGAGGCTTTCCCTGCCGTTCTCGAGATCCCGAGCAAGGACCACCCGTATGACCCTGAAAAGGACAGTGTACTCAAGCGGGTGCGACGACTGTTTGGAGAGTAGATATAACGCGCTTTCAATTTTGATTTGAGGTTTCATATGTATTACCATCTGGTGGTGTTATCTCATTGCCCTATCTCTTGTTTGCCGTTTCACGAAGTATACAGATGGAATGAGAGTTAGCTCGAAGGCGGAGGGGAAGATACCCAATTATATCGTTATGCATCACAACACCAAGTTCACAGAGGCCACTCGTACCAGGGCTTTCGCTACGCTGGTCATCAAGCCTGGCTACTTACTAGCACGTTCCATGGGCTCTGCCGTCAATGGGATCAATGTTTTAAATGCATTTTAGTACAGATGCTAGGTAATGCCAGTAAAAGAAGGTCACGGATTATAATAACAGTGATAAGGATGGACTACAATATGTGGCACTAAACCAAGACCCAAAACACCGTTGAAGACGTAGCGCAACGAAATGTTAGCAGCAATCGTAGAGCGTGGCATGGCTTTCGTAAACATTGGCATGTCACTGTGAGGCTCGAGGATAAAGGCGGGCTTAAGTAGTGGCAAGCGGAGAAACAAAACGATAACATATGCAAGTAGTAACGTCAGCTCGTTATGGGCGATAAAACGCAAGGACATCCAGCGTCAACAGCGCTAAATTATGCATCGCGGCCATGTACTCAGAAGTACCGAGCCAGCTTTCACATAAAGCCCGCCTTGAACTCGATGTTACGGGCCTGAAGGCAGGTAACATGCTTATCGTCTTTGGTGTAAACGTCGGCATGCACAGTGTACTTGCCCTGTTGATTGATCATAACCTGGTTAATTTCGACATCGATAGTGGTGTACCATAGGGAATCACGTACCGGAGGGATCTGCCTGGGCAGCTCAACTTGTTTAGTCAAGGTCATCTCGCCCTTCTCCAGAGGACATTCGAGGTCAACATTGACGATCTGCTCGCACAGGTCGGCCGTCTGCCTGACCAAAGTAATCAAGCCATATTTGACCTCCAGATTCACATAAGCGCCCTCTTCAATCTTTTCATTCAGGGTACCCGTAGCTTGGATGATGAGAGTCTTTCCACTATAGAGCGATCAGTATGCGATCCAATTCAGGCAAGACAGGCTAATTGAAGCGTACGGCAGAGGAGGATTAGGCGTTAGGTCGACATGATCTATTTGCAAAAGATAGCTTGAAGGATCATTGCAGTATTCGAGGGGGTTATCGCCTTTCACAGCCTCATTCTCTGCTTGGATGGGGGTTTGAGAGTTGAAGAAGTCCAAAGACCGGGCGGTAGAGAAGGGGGCGACGCAGAGGAGGAATGTAGCGGCGGTTGATAAGAGCTTCATGGTCGCAAAGGGGCACAAAGCAGCCGTTTTCGTTGCGTATAAGAATCAAGTGATAGCGAAGGACTAGCTAAGCTAATACGAAGTATAATCGAGAGAGTATTGACGGACGGGAAATCACCAGAGGTACAGATAAGAGAGACAAGACGAGGCAAGAGAGGATGAAGAGCGGTGTCATGGGACGGCGGTTCCTGTCTTGGCAGCCGCCGATGACGACGGACGCATTGGGAATGCACGTGATGGACTAGCGCCTGACCTTACTTTGGCACTAGGAACCATTTGTCCTAGATCATCAGATCCCATGGATCCCTATCTCAAACAATACCATAGAGTGAACATAAGGAAATGCATGCCGAAGGGCTGTATCATGGTTTTGTCTTTCTTATCGTGACCTCGCTCTATTTCGATGGGCCCTACGGATGTCTTACCCGTCTCACTAAAGTTATGGAGTCCGAAGCCCTCATGGCATGGGGATGACCCACCGCCCCGGATGAAGCGCGGCCGTTATTGATTTACAACGTCTATACTCCGTACATCTAGATAACTATATGGTACGTTTCTTTCAATCCACACAACTACTACTGCACCGCAATAGCCCTTGTTTCTTACAGGCCTGAAGCGGGTCAAAGTGAACCCCAATGATTCTAAATCAACTTGAAAGTAGAATCGTCATTGTGAAGGCTACTATTTACAAGGTATAATATCAATATTACTATCATATCACGCTCAATGCTCAGAGACGAAGATACCAGCCATGCCCATACCCTATATAAACATTATTAGCCTGAAGTTCGACATCTGCAGGGTGCACAAATTTATTGAATATCTTACCGTTCCAACACACATCGAGGTAACTGCAATCCTCTTGTTTTGTCGGCGCAACTCCGAAAGGGCGGTCACCACCTGGCGCGCTCCTGTGCAGCCTAGAGGGTGGCCAAAAGCACTGCTAATTGTCAGCATCATGAGACTTGGATTCGGCGATTCAAGACTTACATGGCACCGCCACGGGGGTTAACTTTGGCCTCATCCAGGCCCAGCTTCTGGACGCAATACGTTCCCTATACCAAAATCAGCAAGTTGTTATGGCCCGACGAGAGATGACCACTTACCATTGAGGCGAATGCCTCGTTAATTTCAAAGATGTCGATATCTTCCTTGCTCAGACCGAACTTGGAAAGAATCTTGGGAATGGCGATCGATGGACCAATGCCCATGATTCTAGGTTCCAGGCCTGCAACTGTAGCACCGCAGAACTTGGCTACGATGGGTTGACCGAGCTCTTGGGCGCGAGATCGCTTCATGAGAATGAGACCGGCAGCACCATCGGTAATCTGACTGGCATTACCGCCTGTAGTAGCGCTAGGCGTCCATTGAGGGAACGCAGAGCGGATCTTGCCTAGAGACTCAGCCGTGGTACCGTAACGGATACCATCATCCCGGTCGACGACGACTTCCTTGGTCTCGCCCGTCTTGGGGTCTTTAATCACCGTCTTCACCGGGACAATCTCGTCGTTGAACCATCCGGCCTTCTGGGCATGCTCGGCTTTCTGGTAGCTGTTGGCGGCAAACCTGTCATGCTGTTCACGGGTAATGTTGAACTGTGAGGCAACATTCTCGGATGTCTGTCCCATAGGTTGAGTATTCTGCGAGGCGATCGGGTGGTTCATGATCTTGGAGGACATTTCGGGAGAGCCACCGTCGGCGTTGGTGCTCATACTCTCAGCCCCCACAGCTATACCAACATCAATAGAGCCAGCCATGATCTGGTTGGCAATGTTCTGGACGGCGAGCAATCCGGAGGAACAGAATCGATTGGCGACCGAAGCAGCAGCTGTGACCGGAAATCCTGCGGCTAGCACAGCTGAACGGGCGACGTAAGCTGCGCCGGGGCACAGCACATTTCCAACGCAAACATCTTCGACAAGATTGGGGTCAAGATTCGATTTTTCGCGGACGGACTAGAAGCTATATGAGACGGAGAACATGTCGGCGCTGAAGAGGGTGGGAAGACAATACCGTCAGCAACGAGATGAGAAGATCATCAAGGGCCGTGTCTTTCAAGCCGCCCTTTCTGGCCTTTGTGAGCGGGGTCCGAACGGCCAGTGTAATCACCTGCCACTTGTTAGATTCTGTTACCAGAGACGGATGATAAAAGTGCGCAAATCCATACAATATCGTCGGGGTTCTTGGACAAGACTCTCTGCTTTCCAGACGCCGCACCGGGGCCCGAAAGCTGGTTTGCGATCGAGGTCAATCGTTGCTGTGCAGAAGACATGATTTAAGCTGCTTCTTTTCTCTTTCCTCGTATGAATACCGATACGAATCTGCTTCTGGAAACGGAGCAGCTCTTTCGAGATTTAGCAGACAGAGAAGAACATAAGGAATGAGAGAAGAAGAGAGATCAGCTATATTTTCTTATCTTGGAGACAATTTTTAATTATTATGAACCTGGGGCAAACACGGGGATCAAAAGAACAACCGCGGCTCCCAGACACCCAAGGTTAGACAATACAGTAAATTACTGGGCAAAAGCCACCGAGCCGAAACTCGTCTCGGTATCAAACCCCTGCAGACCCAGCGGGTTTCAAAGGCCAGACCGAGTGAGTGGCAGCCGAGAGAAATGCCGCCTTTTGGTTACACGGCGGTATGATACCGTCACACCAATCGCCTCGGTTGTCGGTCCTTTTCCTAGAAAGTGCACGTATTGCGGGAAGTTGGCCACTCTCTGCCTCCGGTAAGATAGTCTCCGATACAGCGTCATTACCGTCGGTTAATCGTGTGGGTCAGTGACGGGCCGGTTTAGCGTCCAATTATTGCCTCCCCAGATTTGCTGAAGACTCGCAGTGAAGAGAGAACATCCAACATTCCGAATGAGTCATTATCATGGTCAGAAGACGCTCTCAGGTAGTAGTGCTCAGATGTGAGTATGAGATGGACATCGGTGACAGCACACCTCGGTGTATATAGTATCCTATCCATACAGTAGATCTGCGGGTGGCTGGACACAAATGATGGATCTAAACCGCATTGCAGCATGCAAGAAGAATCTGGCTCCGTGCGCGAGCGTTATCTATGCGCCCTCGGAAGCCAGCTCAACATTCTTTTGCCGCTGCTTGCTTTTCTCCAGGCATGCTTACAAAGTACATACCAAATAGACTAAGTGTATGAAGTTAACAACTAGTATTCCCCACCACTGGACGGCAGCTTTCGGTGGCTCACGTCCCGACCCCAGATTCCGAGCGCTTGGATTTTCTTGACACAATTCTGTTCCTATATTTGCCCACTTCCCCGTATCAGAGCGGAGCTATGTCTATATTTTTATAATTGATACTCTTCCTGATGCGGGGTTGATTGTCCTGATTCGCTACTATCTGTCCCGCAATTGACTCAAATTCGTCTCAACAATTGAGTGTGAGATACCAGAAGAAGAAGTTCATTTTTTGTCTTCTGTAGCCAAGTATTCTTTCCCATTATACAGAAATTATCACCACAGCATCACCTTCCACATGGAGTACTTCTCCGAATTGAGTGGCCCCTCCATAGCCATTGCATCAGCTCTTTCAGCCGCTGCAGGGGCATATATCAACGCCAAATTCTCTATTTCGACCGATCTCTCATTGCTATACAAAGAACGATCATGGGCAAACCGCCTGGGTCAGCGGATTGCCCAGCTGGGCGATACCGCCACGCTATATAAGATGCTGGAACGGGTGGTGGAAGTTGACGGACAGGGTGCAGCTGAGGCCTTGTGGTTTGAACATAAGACGTGGACGTATAGCCAGCTGAAAGATCGTATGTGATATCACTGCTGGCTTGTGTGCTCTTTTGACTGACTGTGTCTATAGTCGTTGATAGATTTGCGTCCTTGCTTCACACCAAAGATATCCATGCCGGGGACTTCGTGGGCGTCTTCGCCACGAATGCACCGGAGATGGTGGTGACGATCTATGCACTCTCCAAGTTGGGTGCTGTTGCTGCTCTCATCAACACCAATCTGCGTGGTATGAATATGAGATGCTTTTTGTACACGTATTGGGGCAATCACTTACTGACGATGCTTTGGATAGATGATACATTCACACATTGCTTGAACGTCTCCGGAAGCAAATTTATTGTGTCCACACCCGACCTGTCGCAATTCGTGTGTTCCGAACTGCCTCATTTGGCTCTGAACCTAGGTTCCTTTGATGGCAGCTCCACGGGAGAAATTCAAGTGATCACACCCTCAGATCTACAACAATACTCACCGTCTGCGACAACCCCCGCTAAGAGATCTATCAGCGATTTGACATCGCTGATTTACACTTCGGGAACGACAGGCAAGCCCAAGGCCTGTGCCATCCGCAACATGATGGTTCTTGTCACGTCCAACCCTAACACGACCGACCTCGATGACCGCTCCAAGTACTACCCCCTGCGCACATACTCCCCTCTCCCACTTTTTCATGGTACGGCCTTCTTCACTGGTCTCTGTTATTCAGTAGGAAACGCAGGCACACTGTGCCTTCGGCGCAAGTTTTCCGCTTCTCAGTTCTGGAAAGACGTTCATGACTCGAAAGCCACACGCATCCTATACATCGGCGAGCTCTGCAGATATCTGCTATCAACACCCCCTTCCCCTTATGATCGTGATCATAACTGCATTGTCGCGAGTGGCAACGGGTTGCGTGGAGAAATTTGGGAGCGCTTCCGCCAACGTTTTGGAGTCCCGGAGATTCGCGAATTCTATCGGTCAACGGAAGGCGTGGCAAAGTTTGACAATTGGGGTGAAGGAGCATGGGGTGCTGGGAAGGTGGGATTTTCTGGTCCCATTAAGCGACGGTTCGAGGACGATACGTTCATCGTCAAGTACGATACCGAGACAGAGATGCCCTTCCGTGATCCTAAGACGGGATTCTGTGTACCGGCCAAGCTTGGTGAAGAGGGAGAGGCGATCGGTCGGGTCAAGAGCCGCGGCTTGCTGACTGAGTACCTGCACAATGAGGATGCTACTGAGAAGAAGCTCCTGCGGGACGTATTCGAGAAGGGTGACCTCTTCCAACGCACTGGTGACTTGGTTGTGAGGGATCACGATGGTTGGGTTCGGTTCCAGGACCGTGTGGGTGATACTTTCCGTTGGAAGGGAGAGAATGTCAGCGCTGGAGAGATCAGAGATCACATCTGTCGGATACCATCCGTCCATGATGCGGTTGTTTATGGCGTGAAGCTGAATGGGTATGATACCAAGATTGTCCCTGGCCTACGAAATCACACCATGACAAGATAGCTAACAAAGAGTGTCAGGTATGATGGTCAAGCCGGCGCGGCTGGTATCACTCTGGAGGATGCCTCACCCGCAACTGAGAAAAGTCTCATGGCCAGACTTTACTCGGACTTGAAGAAGAAGGGTGTGCCATCTTATGCATTCCCACGTCTTGTCCGACTCACCGAAAAGTAAATACCTTCTGCCTTCTATGAGACTTTGGCTTTGCTAACCTCTTTCAGGGTGGAAACGGGAGTTACGTTCAAACAAGCCAAGGGAGCGTTGACCAAGAAGGGCTGGGACCCTCGGACAGATTGGGATGGTGATAAGCTGTACTGGCTGAATGGTACAGTCTACCAGAAACTCGATGAGCAGAGCTGGGCATCGATAGAAAGCGGGCAAGCCAAGCTATGAGCTTGGCGAGCATATCTTCTGTAGAAAGCATCTCGCATGTATATAATGCTACTTTTTCTATAAATCCTATTGTAGATAGACACAGAAGACCATGTGTCAATAGAATACCAGCCGCTTGAGCATCTCGTACCAAACCATCGTGTCCAAAAAGACAGTTGTAGAGACCACACACTCAAAAGACTGCAGAATTACGCAGCTAGCCCGGAATGCCTTCATGGTCCGCATTTGGTGTGATCGTCTTATCGGCTTATCAGCCTCGCTTTACTGGTTCATCCGGGGAATTGCGCGCGGGGTCGACCCCCGCTACATTCCAGGATCATTGCAAGCGTGCATTCGATCACAAACCAGATTGAGAGGGTGAGTTTGTCAAGCAATCCTGACAATGTCTTCTCTTAACTCTTCCTCCAATCATCCACCTTCTCAAGATGAACATAACCCTAAAGAATTGAATGTGGTGCATGAACTGGACCAGGACAAAGATGTCGAGCAACGAGTTGCGCCCGACCAGGTTGAGGACAAATATCGCACAACCAGATGGGAGATCTGGGCTTATTATGCGTGCGTTATAGACAATATTCCGTGGACTTGGTACTAAACAACAGCTATCAGTTACTATATTGGCAACAATGGCCTCTCTCTATTCAGTAAGTCATCATATTTCATTCGCGGCTATTTTCCCACAGAGAAAGCTAACAGCAAAAACCGACTTTGCACCCACTGCCTGCCAGAACCTCCTCTCCCAGGCTGCAGGCGATCAAGGCACCCTATACTTCGCTGGAAGACAACGATCCATAGACAGCATCGTCCTGCTAAGCAACGGAATCTCCTTCGCCATCCAAGTCGTTCTCTTCCTCATAATCGGCAGTTTTGCAGACTTTGGCAACTGGAGACCCAATATCCTGATCGTGTTATCGGTCGTCGCATACGCCATCGGCTTCGCTTGGCTGGGTGTACACGAAGCCGACAAATGGCACGTCGGAGTCGGACTCTACATCGTCGGGCTGATCGCCTACCAGACCACGCTGACTTTCTGGACGGCAGCGTTTCCCGGTCTCGCGCGGAACACGAAGGAGATGAAGGACGTCGCGGAGCAATATGTCGCGGGAAGTATCTCCAGAGACGAATACGATCATGTTGACACGATGAAGCGCAGTCAGCTTGCCAATGTTGCTTTCTATGTGCAATCGGTAGGAGAGCTGTTCGTGCTAGCTGTTATTGTGGGGATTATGTTCGCATTGAACGTCGATGCTAGCGAGAGTAACAATAACTGGGGATTAAGCGTCCTTATAGCTTTCGCTAGTGGCGTATGGCTTCTCGTCTCGTTACCGTGGTTTGCCCTGGAGAAGAGACGCCCAGGACAGGATCCCCAGGGAAGCAAGATTGTCATTGCTGGGCTGAAGCAGCTCGTTCATGCGGCGAGGCAGGTCTGGAAGTTGAAACAGAGCGTTATCTATCTTATTGGTATGGTTATCCTCACTCATGTAAACCACGCTCAGACCATTGACATATATACTACAGGCTACTTCCTCCTCGGCGATTCCCTCAACACAACAGTGACCGTTATATCGACCCTACAAAACAGCATCGTCTCCTACAACACACTCCAATTAACCTACCTCCTCCTAGTCGGCATCGCAGCTCAAGCCATCGGCATCTACGCCTTCTGGTACGCCCAAAAACGCCTCAACCTCAGCACCAAAACCATGTTCAACCTGATCGCTATCGCCATCATCCTCCTCGATGGCTGGGGCATGATAGGCATCTGGACCCAGAAGTTCGGCTTCCATCATCTCTGGGAAGTCTGGGTGAGCCCTCCCCATCTCCTCTTCTACCTGCTTTATTATCACATTATATACCCCCAATCATTAAATCAAGCCAACCCACCATCTGACAAAGATGCTCCAGCTCTACCAAGCCTACTACGGCCTCTTCGTCTGCCCGTGGTACAGTTACTCCCAGATAATGATATCGGAAGTGACGCCTCGCGGCCACGAATTCCTCTTCTTCAGTCTGTTCAGCATCGTGGGCAAGACGTCCTCGTTTATTGGGCCGCTCGTTTCAAGCGCTATTATTGATGCCTCGCCGTCGGGAAATAGCTCCATGCCGTTTTATTTCCTTTTTGCGTTGAGTGTGCTTAGTTTTGGGTTCTTGGTTGTGTTTTTGGATTTGGGCGTGAGTAGGGAGGAACAGAGGGTGTTTTTGAAGGGGAGGGAGGAGGAGGTGGAGGAGTAGGTTTTCTGTTGGGGGTAGTGAGGGTTTTGGTTATGTATTTGATAGTGGGAGTGTCTGTCTGGTTACTATGCTGATGGGGTGTTCTATGTGATGAGGATGCTACGAGTAGTAGTATGGGTTGGCTACTAGTATGAAACAATCATAAAACTATTTAATTCTCGTACCATATCAGATAAAGCCAGCTGGAAAGACTAATATAATAGCTCCCAACTCAGTAAGTTATACATGACCAATCCCACTCAATACAGGCTTTTTTTATTCCCCCTCCCAAATAACAGCAAGGGGCATAAGTGAGAAGAATAAAGTGAAAGAAAACTCCAGCCCATGCTATGCCTAAGCGCCTTATATATCGAACGTAGTATACGAAGGGTGATAACCGAAGCAAAGGAAAGAAAACAGAGACCGACAGAGGATATCAGGTCAAAAGGGTGTGGCAGCAACTGCAGCAGGAGCAGCATCACGCCTCGCCATCCGACGCATCCTCTTTCGACTTGGACTTCTTCTTCTTCTTCTTCTCCTTCTTCTCGGCACCATCGTCGCCATCTACATCCGCGGCCTCGGAGTCGCGCTTCCGCTTCTTCTTCTCTTTCTTCTCCTTCTTTTCCTTCTTCTCCTTCTTCTTTTCCTCCGCAGCGTCCAGCTCCTCGGGCGGCACAAACGCCTTCTCGCGCTCCTTCATCTTCTCCTCGCGCTTCAACCGCTGTCTCTCCATGACCTCCTCCTTCTGCTGCCGATCCTTCGCCTCCTTGGACAGGAAGTACTCGCCCGACTCGATCTGGAGATCCACCTTGCTCTTCTCCGGTGCCGGAGGGAAAGGAGTGTACACCTTCTTCGTCTTGTCGGTGACCTTGAACGGCACGCGACGCTTGGACAGCGTGCGCTTCTTGAAGTTGGGCAGGAAGCGGTCCCAGGATTCGTTCGCCAGGGTGGGGTCCTTGGCCAGTTCGCGCTTGATCATGAGTTCCTTGATGTGGTAGATCGGGTGAATGTTGGCCATGCAGTCGTTGATGATGCGACGGACTTCCTTGAGACCCTTGTAGGGGCCCATGGCGGCGACCGTGTTACCCTGGACCAGGATGTAGGTGCTTGTAAGCAGCTCCAGGGCTTTCAGGGTGGATCCACCGGGGCCGAGAATACGTTGACGACGCTTGACGAAGCGCTCCTTGTTGCGGACTTGGTTGCGGATCTTGATGATGTCGCATGCGACGTCGTCTTCGAGGATTTTAAGAGCCTATTTAGTTTGGTGTGTTAGTAGGGTTGTTTTTTGGATAATCCTAGAATCATTATTCAAGGTGTTTACCTGTTGCACCGGCACACTTCTCGACAACAACTTGATCAAATCACGGGCCTTGAGGATCGCAGCAGGATCGAACGTCTTTCGAGTCGTCTTGACGGTCATGCTACCCTCGACCAAATCCAGCGTGCAGGCAATACCGAATTTCTCGAGCGCTCTTGTCACAACGGGCCATGCTTCCTTCAGGTAGACTTCACGGTACTTGGGGAACAGAGTGGCGAAGGAAGATTCTTCAGCGAAACTACCGGCGACATTGTCATCGGGTTGGAAGGGTTCGACCTGGTCGCAACAAATTTGCAGTTAGTTTCGGACTGGTTTGAGACTTTCGATGTTTGGATTTTTGTGTGGTAGAGCATACCTTCCACTTGTCAATGTCGTCCGTGTCCCACGGCTTGTCCCTCTTGTAGGTGGAAGGCATGATGAGTCCAGGGGTGGCTCTTGTGATCTGCGACGGTGATGGAGAGAGACTTGGAGTTGATGATCGAATGGCGGCCAACTTTTTCTGAGTCCCCGCGGGTGCTTACCCGATTGGGTAACTCATTGATGCCTGTGTATTAAGGTTGTAATAAGGCATCAAGGCTTGTATGAGATTCCCGCCGTAAGCGCCCAAGCGCGACTGAGATGATGATCGAGCGTCTGTGTGATGGAGGCTCTTACGGGTGGCTACGGCGTCACTACGGTCTGGGCTATGGGTCATGTTTCTGATCATTCACTAATTCTTGTAGGCATCCATCGCGCAAGGAGAGGTCCAGCATGTCTGACGGGTAAACCAGCTGCAGTAAGGGACGCTTTTGGTTGTTGAATCGATATGATACGGTGATTTGATGTATCAGATCCTGGGGGTTGGTGCGACTTTCTCGTAGAATTACGGAGAAGTCCCCGTTTAATTAAGCGACGTGCTGCTATTCTCTGATCCCGACCCATTTAGGCCCATCGCCAAAGCGGGTCAACAAAGATCTGTGTTCATTCCATGAAAATGGGTAGCTGAATGGCTTCGGCCTGCCTGGAGGTCTCGGGATAGGATTGATTTGCTATCATCGCTCCCTCGATTTGAAGTGGCCATTGAGCATTCCTCGACCCTGGCTGGTTGACAATGGCTCCTGAGAGCGCCCCTGGTATCATTGGGGCTTGTGCGGCAGTCTGCTCTAAATCGGACTCAAATGATGGGAGATTAATGGGCGAAGGGGGATGTGGAAACGCCAAATAAGCACCCATAGCCAGTCTATTGTAGTAACAGAGCGAGGCACATGCTCCGGTAAATATGCAGCAGTAAGAGTCCTTTCTGTTGGTAGGATAGGTCAAGGCTACCATCGCGTCCTGGCCCAAAGGAGCACCCCAAATGGGGCGACGGGGCTCGATCCATTAAGGACGGGCTGGCAATGACTGCGTAGACCATTGTCTTGCCCCATTTGCTCTTGAAAGAAGTACTCGCGGACTGTTATTCAGACGCGGGTCGCTGCGAGGAGAGCATCTGGGGCCTGAGCTTATCTTGGGGCGGTCATTTCTGATCGAGTCAGTCCGTGGGCAGGACTCAGGCACACCTGGTCCCGTGGCTCTGGTTCCGTCCCGAAACGCTGTTTCCTCTCCTCTTCTCGTCGCCGTAAATACTTGTTTTCTTCTTCCTCCCTGGTTTACCCCTTTGTGTCCCTGAACTTTGTGGTTCCATCATTTCATGGTCATTCCTGGGGTGTTAGCTCTGCTCTTTCCCTCCCCATTCATGACTCGTTCAATATCCGCAATTTACCTTCCGAGATGAGCTAATTGAGCCACCCGATTTACCACCGGCACTTCCCTCTTGGTGGGGTGATTCTTCTTGCGTGGTGGCTGGCCCATCACTCCCCTCATCGGTGGTCGTCAGCAATGATACTTAATGGCCGGGTTTTGTTTGCCTCTCTATTCATCTGTCCAGTCAGTTGCAATGAGCATGGTTTCCTGCCCCGTCCCCATAGCTCCTTCCTGTTCTTGATTTAGTAGAAACCGAGTCCAGCCGGATCCCAACCCAATCCGTTAGTGCATCGCTCGAGATATTTCCGTGAACACCATCACTTTCACCAGTATCACTGGGAACGTTACTCCGGCAATCTTATGCTTGTTCAAGACCTGGGACGGCTTTGGTGACCGGCAGGACTCGACCACGGTGGTTAAAATCGTCAGGAAACTTCCTGGCGTCTCAACAGGCTTCGAACGAAGATCACTCGGATGAAGAGTCCTCGGGATATGCGTGACAGTATACTGGGGCTCTATCTGCTGATCAAATGAAAGCTTATTGCGGAGGGAAAATGTGTGAAGGGGCTTCTTTGGCTGGGCATTGTCTAGCTTATGTCGAACTCCAGCCTCGAAATCAATACCCAAACAGTACCGGTTCCCATCAATGCACCCCAACGACATCCCCGATCTGCTGCGTCCCTAATTTTGCGTTCGCATGACCACTACTCCAACCATAAGACCCTCTATGATGGTTTTCGTCCGATAGCAACGTACCTGAATCGTCAGCATCAGTTTGGACCATTCGAACGACCCACTTACAAAGGGAAATATGTTTTCAAGCTCGTGTTTTCCGCTTCTTTTTGTGCTTGGTCGATCAGTTGCTGAAACTCGTCATGCGACATGTGCAGGCGTTGGGTCAAGGGGTAGAGTGCTACTGCAGTGAGCAGGTGTCTGGTGATCTTGCGGTTGGCTTTGCCTATGTCTCGCATCCTCGGTTCTACTGGATTGTCAGTTCTATCCACTAAAACCGGCTTGGAAGAACTCACCGCTGGACCATTCGCAGAGGGGGACAGGTATCATCGTGGATTCGACCTCCTTCAGCCCTGCTGCTAGCAGGAGATCTCTCAGGCGGGTGCCTACACGAAGATCCTTGACGTCTTCCACTGAGCTCATGAGCTTTGTACTCCACTGTCTCAATGCGTGCTTCTCCGTGAGCGAACCGTTGTCCGACTGGACGTTGAAGTAGATCTCGACCAACTGCACCCAACCGCCTGGTTTCAAAACTCTATTCCACCTTGAAGTCAGTCTCGCATTATCTTCACAGCATCCGTGACCCTAGGGCCCGCTCCTTACAACCGGACCTTTTGATGTCTTGTATATATGACGACCATCGGGATCCATCGATACCTGTTGCCATCATCCTCGAATTGACGAGATCGAAATATTCAGGGGGGAAGGTAAAGGGCCGGTTCAGATCGTCGACCTACGGAATCAAAGATTAGATTCATCAGGATGGGGACAGTTTGACAGACAAAGGTTTCAATTTATGAGAGGGATTGTGTGCTCTGGCAATGTGCAGAGGCACACTCATAGGTGTCAGGAGAGAAGAAGGAGCCTTACTTGAAACTCCAAGTTTTCCGCCACATCAAAATCATCATCGTCGTCATCTGGTATCATATGAGGGGATATATCAACACCGATGACCTTTCGTTTAGTTATGCCGTTAGTCATTCAGAAAATGACAGCGCTACTTGCCCGGATCTAACCTCGCAATCTGGAAATTCTTCTGCTACCTGGATAGCCCAGGACCCCGCGCCGTGACCACAATCGAGAACTCTTTGAGGCTCACAGTTTCGCGGGAAGATCAGCCGATTATCAAAGATCTTGTTGAAGACTTTATTCTGGAGCTCGAGCCGATTCGCTTCATCCTAGTAAGAGGGAAGTCAGCCATAGCTTTTTGTGGCGCAAGGTTCTTGGCTTCTACACGATCAACTGGCTGAAATGATATCTCATTATCAATCGAGTACTGCTGATATTCGCGTCCGTGAACGGTTATTGTGTGCCGATACGTCTCGTCCAAATTTTCCGTCTGCGAGTCAGGGCTCCTTGTTGATGGCAGAAGGTTAGTCTCTCCTGACAGCACGCACGGGTTATGGCAACGGGCTGTGTACGTCATTATTATTTCGTTCCCCAGAGTAACTGTATATGTGTTGAGGTGGTTATGTTGATGTGTGGCAAAAGAAATTCAGTGCAAAAGGGGTTTCTATAATGTGGGAGAAGGTGCAATGGAGGCTGTGTGCTCAGTGGAAGTTCCAAAAGCGGTTGATGCGGCACGCACCAGAATTTGGAGGGCGATAAAAATCCCACTGGGCACAGACAAAGAAGTACTATCTTGGCCTCGCTGAACGAGCTGGGGGAGTACTTACTATGCGGGACTCAGCGTCCGTACGTTTTAGTACGGATGATGGAAATTTCCGCTCTATGCAGGACCAAGCATCTGACTGGGGGCAGAAAGACCAAAAACCATATATCATTGGCAGGTTGGTCCTGAAACGTATTTCCGAGCAGGCAAGACTGGACTCAGGATAATCCATGATCTAACTACACTATTTCGTGGATTGTTGGGTGTACGCCTTGCTTGGGTCAAATACATGCTTATTCGGGCATTGGATAGATTGCTACTATGGCCCAGGGGAAGGAGGGGCTGATAGTCCCTTCCGGAGGGGTCAACTATTCCGACAGAATAAGCATATGGGTAGCCCAGGATGACTCCTTGGGCCCAGCCTGTAGGCCACGACCGGCTGCAAACCTGGAAGGCCGGTGGCACAATGGATTTGACCATTCATCGGCCCGTTTCCCTTGTCCATAAGGCGAAGGATTCGCGCTGTCTTCCTCGCGATGACCGGGGCGCAGAAAGTTTGTTGTTGTTACTAGGCTCGTATCGTGCCTGCTCAGATGCAAAGGAAGCTCTGTCGCATGAGCCAAGCCAAGTACTAGTGAGTCTACTTCCTAAGCCACAAACTAAGAACTTGATAGCCACACAGAGAATCTTTTTTGTCAGGCAACTATAGATGACAGCCTTCCGTGACCCCCCTGGTTCAGATATGAGCCTGACTGTTAGTGTGCGAGGCTGCACCCAGGCAAATGAGGTGGTGGGACGTTACGAATGAACTGCATTGTTCAGCCGCTCATAGGTCACATTCTGTATGACCATATTCATGCACAGGGGAGGGGGGACGCAAAGCGAGGCCGGAGGGGGTTGAAACTGTCAAAAAGTCTGCGCTCCACTCAAGGAGCCAGTCAAAGACTCAAAGTTAGGGTCACCTAGTCCCGTCGCATTTATTGGAGGCCAAAGACTTCTCGGGGTTTGGAGGCGCAGAGCCGTCGGGATTCCTGGCTTCGTCCCGCTGTCACCTTCAAGGCAGAAGCGACTCTCCATCACGGCGACTACCTGGGATTTCTCCTAACATACAAGACATTCAGGGACGTAATATATGACGGCATCAATGCTCAAAACAGGTGGGGTTGTCTACTGAACGATTGTAAAGCACAGGTAGGCGAATCTAAAAGGTCGGGGAGGTGCTAAGTCTGCCACTAGCCCGGCCGATTCGATGCAGGATTTTCTTGCCACTTCTTAATATGACACTCGCCCTGCATCCACACCCTCACCGCTTCTTTTGGTATCGCGCAATGATCTAAGGGCTTAGTAAATGCGACTAACAACAACCTGAGATGGCCGGTTCACGTCGAGGCTGGCAGAGTTTTTGGCGTGCGACCGCCCCTGAAGGACAGACCAATGGTGTCTCCTGTAGCGAATGAACAGTGACTCTGAGTCCGACTGAGCGACAGATGATCGGGACCTAAACAGATGCGGAGACTTTTAGACACAACTGTTCTGGGAAACGGCCGATACAGCACTGTCCCCATTTCAGGTCCGAACTGACTCCTTTCTTTCCCCTATACCGTGACCCAGTCTCGAGTACAATAGGATACTCGAACCCGAGGAGAAAGCATTCCTGTGACGAACGGCTGGGCTCCGCAGAGGTGACACCTGAAACGCGGTTTGCCATTCAGCCGAATTGCTGGTGGCTTCGATGGGGACAAATGGCCGACCCGTCTGTTCCATTAGCTTTGTGCCAAGAGCGTGCACTGATGTGGCCATGATATTCCCCGAGCGCAATCCATGCATGCAGACAGGGAGGTCATGCATGTCAAGCCGTCAGACGGGCTTGAGATTAGAGCATCCATGCCGTCGGGTCTGACATGGGAAGAGGACATGGGCACAGGGCACGCAGATAGTTGGCGGCAAACCCAGAACCATGGTTCAGCTTCGGGTAGGGGAAGGCCTGCCGTCGGGGCCTATCTACGGGGCGGTTAGGCCCGCTAGTGCCCTGGGGCAGTGCCCACTATACTTACGGCAGTTGTCAGTAGTGCTACTGTCAACGGACGTGAAGTCTGAAGGATCGTGAAGAATATCTAGTAGATGAGGGGCGTAATGTAGTGCTGAAGGTAGGTGTTCTCGTCCTGTCGTTTTTGGCAAATCCACTACAAGGTTCTCACGATTGGAATAAGCGTCTCAGTGTGTCCGTCTCGGAACTAGTAATCCATGGTGCCCTGATCATCACCACCCTATTATGCAGGAAAATATATGAGTTCACATGAGTGAGAGAGGGGCGCTTTCTTCTTTCTTTTTAGCTTACAAAATTTGACTAGCGTATTATACAATGGGTCATGCTATACGTAACACACCCGACCTTGCCGAGTACTTCCTTTCCTTCGGAATATTCTTTCTTCACTTCACCTCCTCGCCAGTCAAATACCTCAGACTGGCCTTCATAAGACCCAGCACTAAAGTAACCTCCTCCTTCGTCCTCGGCGCATAGATCAACACATACTCAGATGGCAATTGGATCAATTTACCGCCCATCAATGCCCTGGGAATCTCCACACCACTGAAACCATGTCTCTGACCCCAACCAGCATCGAAGACTTTCTTACCTGCAGAAATCAGCACCAGTACCCAGAAAACAAAGAGACCAGTCCACCTCCTCATCCAAACACAAACACGCCGAACACTGTCAAAACCAAACCCAGAAAATGAAAAGGAAGAACTCACAATCCGCAGGGGCCAAAACCATATGCAACGAATAATCCTTCAGGCGATGCACATGCACACACTCGCCATTCAATTTCCTCGTCGTCTCATTCCTATTAGCCAACTCCTCCGTCGCCAGGAATATCGCACCCGCATGCAGCTCTAATCGCGAATCGGCGACTTTGATTAATTGCGGGTTTTGCTCTGCAAGGGCGTAGAATTGCGAGTCGAGGTACTACACACATACTATTAGTCTAGTCTTCCACTTATTCTTGAATATACATTATCCAACCAAAGATGAAGCAATTTCAATTCAAAGAAAGAAAGAAAGAAAGAAAGAAAGAAATAAATAAAGAAGTGGAAGATACACACCATCTTCACCTCCTCCCCCGCAAACTCCTCCACCTGGCGCTGCGGCACATAATGCGGTCCGACGGCGGGTCTCTTCTCCCTCTTCAAAGCGCTGAGAAAATCTACCGTGTCTTCGGAGAGGTATGATTGGGTTTCGCCGTTCGCGATCTTCTTCTCGTAGATTGTCGTGCTGGTCATGTTGCGTCCGAATGGGTACAGGAGGAATGTCACACCGAACCACCCCAGGAGGTTGTATGGGGCGCCGCCGGGCCCGTAGGATAGGTAGGTTTTGTAGTTTTTGTAGAGGAGGGGGAGGAGGAGGGTTGTTAGGGTGGTTAGTGTTATTGTTGTGCGGGATGGGGATTGGAGCCAGGATTGGGGGAGGGGGAGGGGGAGGGTGGATTTGAGGGTTGTGAGGAGGGAGGGCATTTTGATTGTTGTGTATTATTGGTGTTGGTGGTGTTGGTGTTGGTGTTGGTGTTGGTGTTTGGGTGGAGGGTTGTTGCTGTATTTATTCTAATACTAGTAGGATGTTGAAAGTAGGTGGATGTCACGATGATGATGGTGCAGTGAGGGGGAGGGGGAGGGGAAATGGGAGGGATACAAGGGGTTCATATATTCATTCATTCCTCCGTTTAGTGAGATCATGTCACTGGTAGGTGATCTGATGCATCAAGATTTGCCGTGCTTATTATTATTATTCTCCGATGTATTCCCTACCGTACATGTCTTACATGGTGAGAGCTGCGAGCTTACTATCTATCTTCCTATGGATAGAAATGATGCAAAGCTAATACTCTTCTGGTAAGCGTTGCGATACTCATTACTGGGTACTGGGTGACAGCAGTCACGGTCGGGGATTCCATCCGAGGGATTCCGATTCCGGGGTTGCCTTACTGACTCATAGCCATAGAACGGGATTATGGATCATTCGGGGCGGAAAATTAGATGTATTTCGGTTCGTTCATAATCTGGTCATTCATTGCATTGCATTATTCAGTAGAGTAGTGGGTATTCGCAAATCATCATCGGGCGTCAAGCATGTCCCGTCCGTCCGTCTTTCTTCCTGATACTCCAGCCTTGCCGTGGCTAACACATAGGTAATAAAACAAAAACTGTAGTGGGGTTGGAGGGGTGAGGTGAGGTTGTGTGCAGAAACTCCCAATTCGTCTCTGCACTGCTGTTCGCAAGCGCGGCCTATATGGCTTCGGGATGGGCCTGTAGAAGTCCCTCATTAAGGGACGGCCTCGCACGGCTATGTTAGGTGCTAGACGTCGTCGCGTGCTGTAGAGGATCATCGGCTTGAATATTATTGCAAGCTGCGAGGGTGGTGAGGTTACCCTCGGAACCTTTCAGTGGAGATAGTAAGGTTCTCGCTTCAGTCGTCTTTACTGATTGCGCTCAGGGCATGCGCCAGCTTGAGAAGAACGACACTTTCAGTTGCGGCGTAGTAGTTCAAGCTGCAATATCATTAGCGTAGTCGTCAATAGCATGAAGGGATACCCACCTATCCATCAGAATCCGCAGATGCCGGTTAAAATGCTCCTCGCATCGACGCAGCGTCTCCTCTAGCTTGTCGATACGCGACGGGTCATATCCTCGCCCATCTGAACCAGCGGCTTTGTTTCCCGCCAAGTCAGGGTCCGCTGAAGCAAGCGCGCGCGCAAGAGAGGATGTGGCCCAGGAGGAGAACATGGTGCAGCAGGTCATGAGTCGATGGTGGATCTGGTCGATTATTAGTAGGGATGGGATCATAGTAGGCTTGTTGACAAACCTTGAGCAGCTTAGCCTGCGTCAGCATGCATTCCTTGAGGCATGTATCCAGAAAGTCCACATGGTCCTGCATCAGCTCGTCCACAGTGCGATTGACTTGTTTGGTGCCATTGACAGTCACCTCGGAGCCGTCGGCATCAGTGCCATTTACCCGGTCCATGAGGTTCTGCCAGTTGGGCTCTACGACCTCCGCCGTGCAAAAGTAGAGGAGCTGCTGGACAAACACCAACATCTTGGACCGCAGGTTCCACGCTCGCCTTTTCCACATCTCAAGTCGTCGGTCAGAGGACTTGTGCCTCCAGGCAATGACCTTGCTCTGGTCTAGCCACGATGTGACAAGCATGGTTTCAATGTGACGGAGTGACAGGATGTGTCGGAAAATCAGCTGGTACCGGAGAACCGTTTTGCGACTGATTACAAGGGATAGCGGGAAAGGAACAGAGTAATCCAGCTCCAACGCATCGAAGCCCAATATATCTTTGTCATCCTCTGCACCCTGGCTTGTAGGTGCTTGGTATTTCTCGATTGCCGCCTCCGGGTTATCCTGATCGATACCCGAAACGCTTACAACCTGCATCAGCCATTTCGTGAGCCCGACCTTGTTCATTCGGACCTTGACATCTTCCTTGAATGGATCCTGAGCCGCAATACTCCCGGGTTGTCGCAATACTAGATCGAGAAGCGACTGGAGCTTGCTCTCATTGACATTCTTCGCAGGCTTGCGTAGTTCAGATGCGCCGAGCTCGAGAAAGTAGGAGAAGAAGTCGGACCGATCTAGGAAGAAGTAGTGCTTGAGGGAACGGAAGCGGGTCGTAAGGGAATTCTTCGTGAGAAGGAGGTTCAACAGCGATGCGTTGGCATACGTGTAGGCTGCGTTGACGTTCTCTAAGAAGCGAGGGTCGTCGAGGGTTTTTGGAACATCTTTCACTGCTTTGCTAACATCGACGCCACCACATTCTCGTACGACATTCAGATACTTTCCGGCCAGAAGGACTTTGTCCTTGACGCTTTCCAGTTGTGGTGGAACCTCGTTTTCGCGAATTGTATATCGCTTCTCCCAGTATTCGTCTGTGTAGTCTTCTTCGAGCTTCTCCCGCTTGATCCACTTTTGCTCTTTGACAAGGAACTCGCCATGTGGGTCCTTGATACCTCCATGGTGTAACCATTCATTAAGCATTGTCATGTACGGCCGACTAGCATCCCGAAGCAACCGTTCCAAGAGAGCTTTCGTGGTCGGGTCGCCTGAGAATGTTGTCAGCTGCTCAGTAAGGAGCCGCAAAACATTGCCACCTTTGCAGATCCTCTTGCTAGACATGGCACCAGGCACAAGCTCTCCGCCCTCTTTGAGTTGCTCCAGGATGTTGTCCACATCGTCAAAATCGTCGATTGACTCGTCGAGATCTTGGTCTAAGAGTCCGTTCCGTCGAAGTAGCTCTTGACCCAAAGTATACAGCTGAGCCAAACATTGGCTCGTCGGCATGAGGTGTAAATGAAGAACATGTAGCGTGAAGCTCGAGTTGTTAAGCAATTCGTGCTCTAGCTGGGCGACGAGGACCAGGTACTCCTTGAGTAATTTCCGAATCGTCGCACATAGTGCATGGCTGACTGCTCCGTATTCTGCGCGGCTCTGTACCTCCACAAATGATTCTAGCGCACTGTAATGAGTCGCTATTTTCAGGGTCGATAGTGTAAGCTCCTTTAGGGTCGGGTCCATTCCCGAGGGTAGCTGGAAAGCAGGTCCGGTCAACCTGTCCTTCTCCTGGGACGGGTCATATGACCGGTAATGAATGTATTGGCCCTCAAATCCCATAAAAACGTATAGCAAATCCTCCAGTATCGCCTTTTCCTGCGCATCGGCTGAGAGCTCGCGAAGCGGTGTTGGTTGAAGCGACTGAGGCAGAGCGGAAGCCAAAGGAGGAAACGATACTCGACTAGCTAACGGCGCTGTGGAATGGGGCATTAACGAAGCCTGAGGGTTCCATGGAGCTGGAGCAATATATAGTTAGCGCGCGAACATCTCTAAACCTGTCAGTAGCTCAAGGAAGTGAAACTGACTCTCCACCGGTTGCTTATCCTTCTTTCGGGAATTGGGGCTGGCCCCCTCAGGTTGACTCGGTCCTCGTTTAGATCGGGACCTCTCCATGAATTCACCTCTATTGCCTGCACTGGACGACTCCTTGACCGGGTTTCTCGTTCGGACTTGGGACTTGTCTCGCGTATGCATCGCCATTCGCTCGGTACGCTTGTCGCTGACGATAGGTTGTTGGTCGCGGGACGATCTGGTTTTCTGGCTGGAGGTGCTCCCGCGATGGTCTATATTCTCCGATTGCAAGGGGGAAGCAGCGCTGCGCAGACCGGGCTTCTCAGCGTCGGCGACGCGGTTGGACGCAACGCGGGGTCTCGGGGCGCTCATGTAGCTGGCGCGACGCTCATTGACGGACATTGTCCCGCAAGGTCGAGGAAGACAGGAGGAACAATCATGCAGCCTGTGCCAATAACACCATTGAATGAAGTAAACCGAGTGTAATTTCAATTCCTGGGGAGAAAACAGCAACCATTGGACCCGGACTACACGTCCCGAAGCCGTAGTTTTGGGTTCCATCCGGGCAAAGCAAACAGTCGGCCGTGGATGCCTGACTGCGGCCTGGGGCAGCGACCGCCCTCTCCGCCAGGCACTCGCCGGACTTGCGTAGACAACCGCAACAGCTTCGCCCGAGCTTCCCCAAGAGCTGCTGCCAACTCTACCCTCCTCCCTCTATCTCTCCCATCCCAATCTCGCGTTTCTCTCCCATTCTTTCCTACCTTACCTCCATTTCACTAATTGTCATCACATCTTCCACATAATCCAATATGTTCATTGCCCGCTCAGAATACGGTAAGCTCCGTCAGACCTCCCCCTCTGATGCGGTCATCTAACTAACAGCTTTCCTTGACAGACCGTGGAATCAAGTACGACTCTGATGCCCCTTTCCTGCATAGCAATGCGAATACATACAGTGTCTAACCATGCGATAACAGCACCTTCTCTCCGGAGGGGCGTTTGTTCCAGGTCGAATACTCTCTCGAAGCTATCAAGCTGGGCTCAACAGCGATCGGTGTACGTGCATCCGTTCCTGCCCGACTACATCTGAAGCCGCTCCAAACCATCAACTACACTCATACCCTTCAAGATTTCTAACATACTTCTAGGTCGCAACCTCCGAAGGTGTCATCCTAGGTGTCGAGAAGCGTGTCACCTCCAGCCTCCTCGAGGCCTCCTCCGTCGAGAAGATCGTTGAGATCGACCAACACATTGGCTGTGCCATGTCCGGTCTGCAGGCAGATGCCCGGTCCCTGGTCGAGCACGCCCGTGTCGAATGCCAGAACCATGCCTTCCACTACGCCGAGCCGTTGAGAGTCGAGAGCTGCACCCAGGCCATCTGTGACCTGGCCCTGCGATTCGGAGAGACGGGAGATGACGAGGAGAGCGTCATGAGTCGGCCTTTCGGTGTCGCCTTGCTGCTTGCTGGTATTGATGAGGATGGTCCGCAACTGTATGTTGGGTGTTTTCCTGCTTACTCACCTGCGGGGCTGTGAGATTGTTACTTGGAGTGTGTACTGATCGATTCTGCTCATTTTAGATACCACGCGGAGCCGTCCGGAACGTTCTACCGATATGATGCGAAGGCTATCGGGTCCGGAAGCGAGGGTGCGCAGGCGGAGCTGCAGAATGAATACCATCGTTCCTTGACGCTGGGTGAGGCAGAGACTCTGGTTCTCAAGACGCTGAAGCAGGTCATGGAGGAGAAGCTGGACGCGAAGAACGTTCAGCTCGCTAGTGTGACTAAGGAGAAGGGCTTCCGTATTTACGATGATGAGGAGATGGGTCGGGCTGTTGCGCAGCTGGGCAGCAACCAATAAGGGAGGAGGGCCTCTAAGCATGAAGATATAATGGGCCAACGAGTATATCAGCAATAGTGCGTCCTGTCCGGACTGGTAATTGTCTTGGTATCCATAGAAAAGAACAACGACCTCGTCTAATGACTTTGAATGCTTAAATGCCCCGGCCTTCTTTTAATTGCAACCTAACTTTTTTCTAATGACCAAACAAGCAGCCGATGATATCATAGTATATACAGATGGCTAGTAATTGTAACACCCAAGTTCCGATCACAGCTATCTACTACCGGATCTTGTAGACACAAGGCTTGAGAACAGCGGCCTCTTCCTCCGCAGTCATCCCTTTGTCAGCGAGAGCCGACCTGTCAATGAACCTCTTCTTTCCAGGACCAGCAGCTGCGCCTGTCGTCGAGGCATATTTACCCTTGGTGGGAGCACCACCCGCCTTGACGAACTCCATCTTCACAAACATCTTGTTAGACTTGTCAACTGACTCGGGCTTCAGAACGAAGCCTCGCGTGCGGAACACCTCCACGAAAGCAGAGATATCCGTCTCGTCGTCATTGTCAGCCGGACGAGCGTCTTCAGCATAGATATCTGCGTCATCCACGTCTGAGCCTTCATCATCACCAGCCTTCTTCTTGAGCTTCTTCTTCTCTGACTTGCTGAGCGGCTTCTTCGCTCCAATCTGTGCCTTCTTGCGGTGCACCTTGCCAAAGCGACTCTTGACTTCACTGACCCAACACTCGCCCTTCCCGTCACTGCGCAAGACCCGCCATGCTTCCTCCACGAAAGAGACCCAGTTGGTGCCCATCAGACTGAGACAGAAGACAGTCACATCGACAGAGCCGTTGGCCAATGGAAGGTTGGAGATGTCTGCCTTGGTGATCGGAGAGCCCTCGGGGGCATGGAGATCGTAGCTGAGAAGCTTGAGGTTCAGCTTCTGGGCGGAAGGCAACAGAGCACGGGCGAGCTGGGCGTCACCACAGCCAAGGTCAGCAATGGTGCACAGCCCGTTGGGCCGACGAGGAAGCGCGAGAGCGGAATTCCGCTTGTTGTCGAACTTTCCTTTCTTGGGAGGGCCACGGACTGCCCCTCTACCGCGGAAGGCCTTGATGTAGCCATCGACGGGGTTGGAAGGCCAGGACTCCTTGACCTGGCGAGAAAAGCCGGCGTGGTACTCGTCGAACAGTTCCGGGTTCGCGCTGAAAAGCTCAAAGGCCTTGGCAGAGGGTGTCGTGTAGAGCGTCTCGTTCAGATGGCGGAAACGGGATGAGATCAGCTTCTGTCGCATAGCTTGTTGGAGAGGAGTAAGAATGGCTTCTGTTTTCGGTGGAGCAACCGGCAGGGACTCAGCGGCTGGAGTCTCAGTTGAAGCTTCTTGCTGCTGGTCCTTGTTCTTGTTCTTGTTCTTCCTTTGCTTCTTGTTGGCGGGCTTCCCCTCCTCCCCGGTAGTCTCGGGCTTCTCTTTGGGCTGCTCTTTCGTCGCCTGGCTCTGCTTTCCCTGGCCATCTCCACCATTCTTAGGCTTCTTATCAGCCTTCACGGCATTGTTGTTCGCATTCTGCTTCTGGCCCTTGGGAGTCGGTTTCTGGCCCTCGATATGCCGACGGTACATCTCATCCACATTGCCCTTGGTGACATGATCTTCGCGCTTGCGCTTCTTGTCCCTGTTGTTGATGGGGGTACTATTAGCGCCAGTTGAGCTCTTGGACGAAGATTGCTTCTGGGACGCTTCGGCCTGCTGCTGCTTGAGAGCAGAGGTCTCGAGGGACCAGCCTGGGACGGCGAACATATTGTGTTCTCAACGAAGTCCTTCGCTGCAAAACTCTTCCCAATGATTCGGCTCTCCCTAAGGAAAATCTGGTGGCTCTAGACCGGAAATATCGGCGTGAACGGTGAGGAGAAATCCCAAAAATTTCTGGCAATAAAAGGCGGACAATGGCAGCGGGCGGCTTTCTGCCGTATCGACAAGGGCGGTCAGAACAATGGTTTCAGTACACCATTCCCTTTTTGAAATGTATTGCGATCTGGGGTCCTGATAGTCAGGTGGATTTCAGCCTCCCAGTTCTGGCTATAAATCAACTCGAGGTAACGAAGTTGTTGCTGTAATGATCTTCGTTTGGCGGCTACCTTACACGGCGATCGTTGCTCAGGGTATGATGGTACCGTCATGGCGATTCATAGATCATTCGATCATAAGGACCAAACATGGATTTATATGAAGGCGAAGGCACCACCAGGCAGCTCCTTATGATCGCATACAACAGACATTATCAGCTTAATGATCTGCCCCTCGATATCAACTGTTCAGAATGCATTGTGAAGATGTGCTGACTTCCATCCAGCGGGGCAGCCTTACTGCCTGAGGTGCTCAATCTATGGATTCCAGCCAATCACACGACGCATCGGCTGGGCGGCAGAACTTCCCCGTCGGATCTCCCCACGCATTATTCGCTGCTGCTCTTCTTTACACCCACAGGCTATGAGTCTCCACATCGGAATCCTTGACTCGGTACGTAGTCTAGGCGCCTTACAGACTATCGGTTGCTGTCTTGTGAGTATGGAAACGAACTTGCGCTCAAGTCCCTGCCGCCATGCAAGCAACCGACCATACCCGGAAATCACTACAAGACCCATCTGCCAGTGGGCCAAAGGCCGCGCCGGGTCCTGACACTTCGGCGGAAGTGCAGGGAGACTCCACGACGGCGGTTTCGGGCAGTGGATCTACTCAGAAAGTGCCTAAGAAACGCACCAAGTCTGGATGTCTAAGTGAGTCTCCTCGGTGAGCGTAGCGTGTCTTAGCGACTCGAGCTTACCAGCCCTAATAGCTTGTCGGCAACGTCGCATAAAATGTGGCGAAGAGAAGCCCATTTGTAACAATTGTATCAAGTCAAAGCGCGATTGCAAGGGCTATGGCCCTCGCCTAGTCTTCAAGGATCCATTGGGCATTACGGGTACCTCCTCGCAACCGGCAGCCATCAGTTCACAGACCTTCAATGTGCCACCTCCCAGCGAGGATATCAATAATGCTGTCTTCCAGCAAAGACAAGCCTGTTCTGGCCAACCGGCCCTCGCTCCAAAGCCCGTTGCAACCGCAACTTTGGAGCAGACTCCCCAGCCTGTCACAGCCGCGGCGCCTCATGAGTATCAGGAGCCAAGCGCAGCACCGTTCCAGCCGCAGTCACATACTCTGTCGCAACAGGAATATCCAGTACTCCGTGAGCCGGCAGAAACCTTGGCTTTCCTGGACCAACAACGGTCAGCTGGCTTAGAGCCGCGGTACCAGACTGATACAGGCATAATATATCCGCAAACATCTTCTCGGGCACCCGGCGAAAGATTTGCACCCCCAACCTCATATCAGGTACTATCAAATGTTGAAGAAGAACGCGAAGACGACTATTACGATCTTGATACAGACGAGGAGAGCCATGAGCAGACCTTGGCACAAGATTACAATCAGCTCAGCCTTATCATGGCATCCGCTAATCGCGACCAGCAGCAGCTTCGAACTTTCACCACATACCTAAATGAGCCTAACATACTTACCTCTTATTCCCCAACTTATGGCTCCTCTCCATTGAACAATCCCAAAACAGCACGCATTTTCTTGCATTTTATCCATTCGACCGGGCCAACTCTATCCGTTTTTGAGCGGCATCCAATTGATCCTTCCACCATGTTGGGGTCCCCGGTCCCAATGGCACAACAGGGACTCTGGACCTATACGCTTCCTCTCAAAGCCTTGGAGAATCAGCCATTACTGCAGGCCATCCTAGCTTTGAGCAGCCTACATATTGCTTACCTGCAACAGGCCCCGCCAACAGTTTCTCTGAAGCACTACCACTATGCTCTCAGAAGAGTCGGTGTCGCAGTTGGCCTACCCATGCGGCGCAAGCAGATCAGTACTCTTGCTGCTACACTTTTGCTAGGATACTACGAAGTAATGGGGGCCGATCACTCCAAGTGGAATAGTCATGTCGCAGGGTCGGCTCAGCTGGTGCGCGAGATTGACTTTGCTGGCATGACCCGTAGCCTGCGTGCTCAGCGGCGCAGGGTGTGGCTTGAGCGACATCACAGGGGATCCTCCGTTATATCCATAGTGGAACCCTCATATTCAGTCAGCTATGGTTCAGAAGATGACCCTTTCGCAGAAAAGGAACATGACATCGACGAAGATTTGATAGGCAGCCTTATTGGCCGGGCTGTCAGTTACGACGAGTTCGGACAGGTCGATGATGGTCAAGCCAGCTCTCGTCCCGAGAGACATTTCACTAGGAAAGACATTGAAAACTTTCGTATCCAGTGCGATCTCTACTGGTGGTATTTGCAGCAGGATGTCATGCAGAGCATTATTAGTGGCGGTCCATTATTGTCAGTAACATCCCCAATCTCTCATTTATGTACCATCAGACTGACAGTAGCAGCATTTCGTACTCTCAATGGGGACAGTGTCCCCCGCGCGCCGGAATGGGTCGACTGGATGCTATATACGGCTCAGCGGATCACCTGTGGCTCTTACTGGGACGACTGGCAGATTTTGGTGTTCGGGACAGAAAGCGGAAGCTGAGAGCAACAGAGGCTACGGGATCACAGTGGCGACCTGATTCCAGACTCGCTAGGTTCATGGCTCGTTTCACAGGGAGGGCGCCGGAACAGCAAGCAAGACCGTCGGCCGGTGGCCCTGTGCAGCCTCCTTCCGGTGCGCCAGCGGCTGGTCCGCCGTTCTATGGTATGGCTCCGCCCCGCGGACCAAGACATCCTCCACCAGCCTTTGTCGAGTTTCCTCACCATGGCCATTACGATGATGAAAGCGTCGGGAATAGTTCATACGAAGAGGCTGAGGTTGAGTGGGAGAGTATGTTGATGGCATTCGACACATTTGAAAGCGCTCTCGGTCCGTATTTCATGCCTCTGCCTCCCGACAGTGTGACCCCGATATCGTCTCCTTTCGGGCTTGCTCTGCAGTACCGGACACATACTATAGCCGTTCTGTGGGGATATTACCTCACCGGACGAATTCTCTTACATCGGTTACATCCATCGATGCCTCCCGCCATGATGGTATCTGCAAAGGTAGCGGCGCCGACTACGGCAGGATACTCCCAGGCTATTGGAAGAATCGCGGCTGGGATCTACAACTCACAAGTATCTCATTTAGACGCCGGGAGTCTGAGCCCGACACTTGGATCTTGTCTTATCAAGATGACCGTGCCGATCTTCTTCGCAGCAATCCAATACACCGACCCCGCACAACGAGATTGGGTCATAACAAGGCTGCGCAGTCTCTCCAAAAAGAGTGGTTGGAAGACGTCCGAATCTATAGCCAACAGTTGTGAGAATGCGTGGAGAGTCGCTGCGAAACAAGGTCGTGGACCTCCGTATGAGCGGAAAGACACGACCGAGTACGAACGGGCATCAACGTGGACACCACCCGTTCAAGAGACACCCTTGGGTAACCCCGGCGAAAGACGTTTTGTTACCATCGCCAGACGCCCATCTGAAGCCGGCTGGGCGATGGGACTCCTAAGCCTGGAAGATGACGTACTGAACCTCTCAATCGAGGATCGGGTATGAGTACTTCGTAGTAGTTGCTGGCTGGCAAGGTTTCATTCAAGAACAGGCCAATAGATTGCAAGCCTGAATTACAAGTCAGTAGAAACGTTGTCAGTCAACGTCAAGCCACACGATCTATCAATTTTTCTATTGACAAGGGCCCCTGAAGCAACCATGGCAACATCATATTTATTCCCTTGGTCATCAAGGTGTCACAGACGACAGCATGACATCTGGATTGTGCTGTCTCCACCCCGTTCGAGACCTGCAACGGAGCTGCCGCTGTCAAAGTCACAGTCATTGATGGTTCGTCGCACGAAGCCCCTCCAACGCAGCCTAAGTACAAAGTATATGTGATGTATCCACCTTGAAAACAATAAAAAAAAAGAAGAAAAAGGAATGTCGCCACCATCCTGCATGGGCTCGACCGGGCTCTGAATTTCATACAGGACTGGGTCGAACGCATTGCGCCACTGATCCGCACCGCCCCTGCAGAGAAGGATGATCTCGTCCCCTTCCCCCCCTTTGTATCTGCAGGCTGACAGGCCCTTTTTCATGGTGCTCTGGTTCGGTAAAGTCCGTTATGGAACCACCTGGCGGGATCTGATTCCTCGTATGGCCCTGCACGTGCATATGCATGCAACTAGTCAACTGTCGGGTCAGATGTGATCTCTCTATTTTTTTCTTTCCCTCCGTCTCTCCTCTTGTTCGAGACCGAGTCTAGAAAAGCAAAAAGAAGTTGTTGCTCCAGAAACATACATGTAGTAAGGCTGAAATTGGATGTTATTGATTATCAATCAGTTGTTATTTTGGTTTCAGGTTTCTGGTTGATGTTGCTTTATTTTGTTTATTGTGGTGGTGGTGGTGGTATAGGTTGATATGCAGGGTATTTAGTGTGACGGTCTTATGCATGATAAGAATAATACTACGTACTACTACTGTGCACAACCATCATGATATAATCCCTGTTTAGTCTTGTTGCCAGATATGATCTGTCCTTGTCTTAGAACTATTGCATACTTATAAATGAACTTCATGCTAGGATCAGGCGCTAAATAAAATGTTCTTTTCAGGCATGCTCTCACATGTAGAAAATGTGATGCAGATCTTGAAACTGGCCCAAAAATCATATTAGTATTAAGTAGCAGTAGCAGTAGCAGTACTGGCGGTGCTGGTGCTCGAAGGTCCCTTGTTAACGAAACCAGAGGATACGGGAAGCAGGCGTGGTGGCTACAGAATACAGTTATATCATAGTCATCCTTACCACTGATAGTATTGTGTTACGGCTTGAATGGTTTCCATATTTCGAACTGTACTACTCTACTTATTATCAGAATTTGACAGTGGGTCAATCTGAATATATATCTGACTTAAACCAATGAGTTGCCATGTGATCGAGGTTCGTGAGTTAAGACGGACGATGTTCAATCAAGTAGGATGCGATATCATACATAGTAACACTTACTCCGAACTACTACTGCTAAAATAGTATATAATGTCATCCAATATTACTGAATCAAGAGTAAATATTAGTACTAGTAGTTAGAGGTGATGCATTTCTCTCGTCGTAACGAGCATACTACTGAGCATGAAAAGAGGGATGGAGAGGGATGAGCCCCGGTCTTGTTGTCTCTGTCTCGAGGTAGTGATAGTATTAGGCTGGACAGTCGTTATTGGCTGGTGCTACTATGAAGGTCCAATTTATTCTTATGATGGAGACAGCATATCCGGGCTATCAAGTATATATATGTCGTACTAGTACTATTCTTATTTGCTCAGTAAGCTCCTGCTGAAGATAGTAGTGACCAGGGCTGGATATAGGAAAGAAATTGGAAAAGAAGTAAGTATTGAAAGTTCTTGACTGTTTGAGAACGCTTGGGGATTAGTATTAGATAATGTAAACCGTAGCATGTGAGCCTAGAGGGGAAGGCAGAACTGTTTATGTTCTAGCAGGAATTTGAGTGAGTGCAAGATAACACGTCAGTCCAGTTGCCAAATTATAGTGTGAGTGGTAGTGATAGCCAAGTTTGACTTGATCTGGCACTGATGAGGAAAGAGGGCAAGCCGTTCTTTCCAACTCGTCATCGGCGCGAGAAATGTCGTAAAAGGTATTGCCTGATCGCTATAGACTGTTGATGGCCATGACAGACTGAGACAAGAATGCTTGAATAGCTTGACAACGATGCTTGACAGCTAATGCAATTGACCGCTTCAAGCAACACGCAGCAGCCGGGTGTGTCCGAGAGCAGCCAGGCTCGGCTCGAGACATGAGTTCCTTTTTCCAGTTTAAGATCAAGTTTAGGTTCATTATCAGTATCACACGTTGGGCTCAGAGGCCTTGGAGGAGCCCGATTGACCCAAGTTATCCCGTATTAGGAATCCCGAGAGCATCACATAGGTAACTCGGCCGAATTTGTGGGCAAGAGCATACGTACCTTTCTGAGTCATGGCACAGATTAAGCCACCAGGAAGGGTAATAGTGGCTACTCCACTTCACGCTTTCACTCTGACAACGCGGTATCAGGGAACGATGGGGTTGCACTCCGAAGTCTTCCGGGGGTGGCCTCGAATTACTCTGGCTGTGATGATAGGGGACAGCTGGAACAGCTGCCCACGCTCACCGCTCTTGTGTAGATTGTTTGCGACAATGCAACACTTGGATGTGAACTCGTATGGGCACATACTGTTGAAATCAGCTTTCATTCAATTGAGACATCCCTCCATTTGTCAGCCCCACGGACGGTGGATATCATGCACAAGGCATCAATAGGATAAGACCATGCAAGAACGGCATGCACTCACCCGGTAAATCTTAGGAAGTTTGTTTCGAGCGGAAAGTAGCTATACGAACGGACATCAACCATGGGAGGGACATGGCTTCCGACCAATGACAATTATGAATGTTGGACTACAGGGGAAGACACAAAGGACAGCCGGTCGAGTCCTTACAATGCAGACCATAAGCTCCTAGGAGAAAGGCAATTATGACCTGGAGACTATGCATTGACCAAGGTTTTGTTGATAGTATCAACGGAAATAGTAGTATGTCGAGCGTGTCCATCATTGGGCCGATCAAATCAAAAATCAAAGGCACTGCAGACTGTGGGGTCAGGGCATATCCCTGAGCTCAGTCTAGACCTGAAGCGATCTTTCCAGGATGGAGAAGCACAGAGAGAAATGAGAGAGCAGTGAGTGGTGAGTACCCGACGATAACAGCCATTGAGGAGGCGTGCAGGTGACTTGCCTGGATGGAGGCTTGGCGCAGGCGACAGTTGGCAGCACCAGACTAGATTTGTTTTTTTTTTGGAGATGGCTTCGGCCTCGTTCTCGTTGGCTCCGCATTAGTGCAGATTAGGCGGGCCTAAGCCCTTGCTAGGCTTGCCATTATCGCGCGCCCCCCATGGCTTTATTTTTGACGTCGAGTCTGCAGCCAGCAAGAACATCAATCACTAATGGCTGCTCTCCGTTTCGGGAATCGAATGCATCCATTTATCCTCCTTGTGTTGAAGGAACCAATGATCCCTATTTTCCTTAGAGATCTCCGAGAACATTAGTCTCGAACATGGTCTTCTTCCCCTCACGTTGCCCCGCTGTGTTCCGTTTGGGTGTCCATTCATACCAGATCATCTCAGGTACTCATCAGCTTCTCACGAGTCACTTACCTTGGGTCGAGATCGTTCGAAACCCGCAGTGGATCAGTAAAAACGGACAAAATGGCTTCGCCAGCAGTAAGAAAGCCATGTACAAGTGGAGAGTTAACTTAATTGAGTTTCCAATAGTGTTGCTGGCGGGCGATCAGGTCAATGTACAGTTGGTCAGTTGCAATCCGCTCCGGATATCTGAGTGAGCATCAGGCCACTCAGAGACTTGTTGTTTGACCTCTCTATCGTGATGAAGGCTATTATCGCTAAATGCAGTAGTCCGCACTGGACGGAGGCTCCAGTGAACCAATCGACTATCGCGCCCCATCTCCAGTGAGACCCAATATGGGTCTCAACTGGTGGGAGTGGTATCTGAAAGCCAGAGGGACGTAAGTGGTGTCGGGGCAAGCTGGAATTCTCCGAAGTGTTCGGTCCATCACACTAGTATGACATCGCAAGGCTACCAACTAACTATACGTGGAGGCAAATGTCATTGGGTCGAATAACCGCTCCCCTGAAGCGGTTCTAGCCTACCAGCAGCATGCGCTTAGGGTGAAACTCCCCCTGCTGAAACTATCTGGGCACGAGATCGAGCCGGGGGGTCGTGCAGGGTGGCTAGTGGCCCAGCAGCTAAAGAGGCAGACGCTCCATCCGGGTAGGATTTGCTCCCTCCCGCAGCGGCGTGATGCATGACGCACCCACTGCTAGAGGACAGCTGGACCGGCAGACCTGCACTGCCTACGCCCCGGAGAGGAGTGGTGCAGACCAGAATCGGGGCTGATGAAGAGGGCGAGAAAGCGAGAGAGCCAGCCGGAGGAAGCAACGAAAGAAGGCGAGAGACCGTGGCGAATGGCTAAGAATAATCGAGACCAGACGCATACACGTGGGCCCGCCTGATCTGCGTAAGTTACAAGGGACTTTGGCTGTGTTTGGGTGGTTTGGCGGTTTTTTTGCGGTATCTCCGCTAACGTCACATTTGCCGGGGTTTTGTTTCGCATTTTTATAGATGATGTTTTTTTAATTTTAGTGTAGATACTAGATACGGTATTTATCAGTAAAGAGAAGATTCATCTGCATTGCAAGCCAGACATTTTTATACAAAAGCCAGTCCCTCCCCCACCCCAGAAAGAAACTGGAACACGCACTACACTACACTACACCACACAAGAAGATCTACATCGCTTGGAGTTGACTATTTCACTTTCACACACGGTTCAGCAACAGCCCCGACGTCATCGCTCTTGTCGCAAATCCATCTCTCATCAACGGTTCTGCTTTCTTTGCGCTGCCCCGCCATATTTTTAATCAACGGCCCGCCCCAGTCAGCCGCTGCCGTCACCCACGGTTCGCTTGCAGTCAGTTCCTCTCCCTCTAGTATTCCCTATCAGGTCATCCACTCCTTCAATCCAAACATATCACACATGTCTCGATACGGCGACTACCGTCGCTCTACTGGGGCTCTCGACGAGGACCATTATTCGCGGGACCGTGAGCGTCACCGTCACCGTCACCGTTCACGTGGACCCCCGGTACTCGAGCGCCCCCGTCGTGTCGACGAGGATGATCGCTTCGAATATCGCCTTAAGGAACAGGAGCGATACGGCCCCCCTGCCCGACGCTCTGAAATATTCTACGAGGATGACCATATAGCCTACTCCCCGGGCCCGCTGGTCACCTACCGCCATGCCGAGAGTCCTCCCCCGCGCCCGCGCCTTCTGCGCCGACAGTCTTCCTTGGACACTTTCGACCGCCCAACACGCAAGGTCGATGAATATTACTATAGCGACTACCCGCCTAGAGCTCCTCCTAGTCCCCCACCGATGCGAAGACGAGGCTCCTTCCACCGTGTTCGTTCGCCCGACTACTACGAGGAAATCCGTATCGCGGAACCAGACTACTATGGCGATGAAGAGTACCGGGAGTTCCGTGAGCGTGATCGGATTGTGGAGCGCCCACGTCGCTCAGTGAGTCGGTATCGTGGGAGAATGGTAGAGGAAGTTGACGTGGAGAAACCGTATCCTCGGAAAGGCAGAACTCGCATGCCTCGCAAGTTGGTTCACACCAGCGCGATCCGCGAGTTTGGCTATCCGTATGAGGAAGAGGTGTGTATATTTCATGGATACAAGTCGAGCTGGAACGAAACATGGCCTGGGCCTTGTCCAACGCTAACCGTGGCTGCAGGGGAAAATGATCATCATTCAGGTTGCTCTTTCCAAGGAGCAGATTGACGAGGTCATCAGTCGAAGTCGTGAGATCAAGCGCATGACCGAGAGTAGGTTTCCCACGTGCTTGTCATCAAAAGAGCGATGGTGCTGACGGTCTCCAAGCACATTATAAGCATACGTCTTCACCCTCACCCATTCGCGACAGACATCGCGACCGCATAGTGGAAAAAATCGCTATGGAGAGTTACACTCCCCGGACGAGCCATGAGACTTTGCTCATCGAGCCATCTCCGTCCCGGCACCGGTCGCGGTCGCGCCATTACCATCATCACCACCACCATCCCGAGCTGGAGGAAACGAAAATAACCAGGACAGTCTCTCGGACACGAAACGTGTCCGTCCAGGGTCGCCCTCGCCGTCGGTCATCGCCCGTGCGTAGAATTGAGCGGTATGACGATGGAGCGCAATCCACTAAGCTTCAGTCCGGCCCACTTGCAATCGTTGTACGTCCGCGAGACAGTGATGACGATCTGCGGGAATACACGCAAATCGAGCGACGTGGCGGTGGGGAGGTGATCCGAGACACGGAGATTATTGGCGACGGCGAAGAAGAGGAGATCCTCGAGGTGAAAAAAGATCGCAGAGGTAGGATGAGCCTTGTCCGACGCAAGCGGTGAAGTGCGGATTCTAAGAGATGATCATAGGCCCGAGCTCACGGCTCATGAGAGCGATGATGGCGACTTTGACTTAATCCGGGTAACTGAACGCGGACTCGGCGAGCATTTTTACGACTTTCAGCTTTTCCTTAACGATTTCGGTGTCTCCTATTTTTCATCTGTACTATATCAGTTTGATTGCGATGACGACTTGTACTATGATTCGATTGGTGCGGTTGACGCCATGCTATTACGACGACGATAACGACAATGGGATTCTTGTGTTTTTTTCATGGGCTTGTGCGCGTTATTAAGGTCTTGTTCCTGGGTTTGTTTGTGGATTGTGGGTTTAGACCATGTTTAATACTTATCAAGCCTTTTCTGGGCCTAGTCAATGCAAGAAATGTGACCAGTGGTGTCCGCTCATTAGAGTTTGTCCAAGAGTAAGATGTGTAGCAGTAAGATAGAACTGTCCACATGATAACAGGCTGAGATAGCGATGCTGCCTGGGTGCCTGGCACATGCCGGCATGAAACCGTGGCGGTACCAGCGATACGAAGGCGGTGTCGCACCAATGAACGGAAAGTGGCCTCGACTCCGCGATCTGCACATCAACACCATCTTCTCTCTGACCCTCCTATTGCAGACTTCCTGCATTTGTATTCAGTTTAGATATATCGTGCTTATTCCAGAATCTCAAGGAATTCAGTGTCCAACGACATCATGGATAAGTTCCAGGCGTTCGGAAAGAACCTCAGGTGAGATAACTGTTCCCCTCCGCAATAATTTCTCCGATTAGGAGACTGTCCGCATTTCCAGCGGCACTCCGATGCTGTCATACAGCCAAGACTGCAAACCAAGCATTTGTACTAACATTCTATGTCTTATCGAACAGTGCGAGCTTCTCGCCCTTTGCTGCGCGCACTCAGCAGATGATCAAGGAGCAGCTTGGTCAGGCCGATGACCGCACTCAACTCCCCGATGAGTACATCGAGCTGGAGAAGCGGGTGGATGCCCTGAAGATTGTCCACCAGAAGCTTCTTCAAGTGACGTGCGTTATATCTTCTCCCGTAACGTTTCATCTCTCAGTCAGCTAACATGTTGACCCCATCACATGCAGTTCCCAGTACTCCAACGAGGCCTATGACTACCCGCCCAACATCCGCGAATCCTTCAACGACATGGGCCGCACCATCAGCGAGAAGGTTCAGCTCCTTTCCCAGGCCTCCTCTCCCGCTGAGGCTCAGGCTGCCCTGACTGCCCCTCCCTCGGCCAAGCCGCAGCCCAAGACCTTCAACCACGCTATTGCCCGCGCCTCTCTGGCAGGTTCCCAGACTCTGGCGCAGAGCTCGCATGGCGAGGACCCCCTGGCCACTGCGCTGGAGAAGTACGCTTTGGCGTCGGAGAAGGTGGGCGAGGCTCGTCTGGCCCAGGACGCTCAGATCCAGTCCCGCTTCTTGGCTGGCTGGAACACCACTCTTAACACGAACTTGATGTTCGCCGCGAAGGCACGTAAGAACGTTGAGAACGCTCGTCTTATGCTCGACTCGATCAAGGCGAGCAAGAAGGCCGCCGTCAGGGGTGACTGGGACAGCCTGAGCGAGGAGGCTCGTGCGGAAATTGAGCAGGCGGAGGATGAGTTCGTTGGACAGACCGAGGAGGCTGTTAGCGTGATGAAGAATGTACGTTGTTCGTCTGTGTGAAAAAGATGGTAAAGACTGACAGGATATTACAGGTTCTCGATACCCCCGAACCTCTGCGGAACCTGGCCGACTTGATCGCGGCGCAGCTAGAGTACCACAAGCGGTCTTACGAGATACTCAGCGAGCTGGCTCCTGTTGTCGATGGCTTGCAGGTTGAGCAAGAGGTATGATCGATCAATATTCACTGGTGGTTTTTTCATCGTGACTAATTGGCATCTTCCTGCAGGCCAGCTACCGTAAGAGCCGTGAGGGCGCGTAAATCGGTTGTTGCTGGAATTTGTCGCCATTGTCTCGTGTTGTTTTGTTGCCGCTTATTATTGGAAACTAGCCTCGTTGATTCACCCTGTTTGTCTTGCGAAATTGTTCTATATTCCTCGATGTGTGAATACGTGGGTTATTGACTGCTTGAAGCGTAAACCATGCAGTGTATATCGTAGACTGATACAGTCGATGCATGTCAAACTGACATTCGCGTACTATACCATTAGCCCAGACATCTCATCTTAGAGATATCCTCGAAATAACCCTGCGCAAGGGCATACATCAGATAGAATTAATCCCGTATTTTACCTAACCACAAGATAAAACTCACTTGCCCAGAAATATACCCAGGCAAAATAACAGCCTCGACATCCCTTCTGCGGAGCATAGACAAGATAAATCCTGCCTCAGGCATCAATCCCGAGCAGCGGCGCAGCTCCGCCGATAACCTCCCTCTCGATAACCACGTAACTCCGTCCCCCGTTCCGACCAGCTAGCTGCGCGACAATCCAGTCCTCCACCTGCCACGGCAACCCTACCTCCCTCCAGCGAACTATCCAGACGAGCGAATCTCGAATTCCGCATTCGCGCCATTCCACCACCCAACCAGCGAGTCAGCTACTATCCAGCTAGTCAGCTACCTAGGTACCTCCACCGGTCCTCAACCTACACCCTCCCCCAGATACACCGAAGGGACATACAAACAAGAGCGAAAGAGAAGAACAAGAAACAGCAAGGCTGGACCTGCTGTACACATTTCACTACCCGGAACATATACTCGATCGATTCAATAGATCAGAGCAAGAAAAGACAAAATGGCGAACGGGTATGTTTCTGCTTGGTGTACACCTACTTGTCTATGGGCTGGATGATTATCTATCGATGCGCCCTTTCACCAGTCTTGGATACGATATTGCTAAATGGAAACTTGTACTAATATGGGATATATGGGAATGACAGCTGGAGTTTAATCATCGGCCTCATCTTCGTGGTGGTTGCTTCCGTCCTGGCGTGGATCTTTAGTCCTAAGGGGGAGAATCAGACGTGCGTCAATCTTATACATTCTTTCTCTGTCCTCCTCGATACATCGAAGGAGGTGGATTAGGGGGTTTACTAATTTGTTGGGATGTAGTGTCTTCCGGAGCACGCTTGTGCTTTCTTTCGTTTGTTGTTATTTGATGTGGGGTATGTTTGCACTTTCTTTTCCTTCTCCTCCTTTTTATTCTGTTTTATTGGGTTACTAAGACGTGGCTGACTGGTGTTGCTTTGTAGCTATTACATTCTTGGCGCAGTGGCATCCGTTGATCGTGCCGAAGAGGTCGGATATTCGGCCGGGGAGGGTACCGCAGTAGATTCTTTTCTTGCTTGTTTTTGGGGATTGTCTGGGCTGGCTGAGGGGAAGATGCTTAAGGGTGATATGATGGGCGGGATGCGGTTGAATAGTTGAATACCAGGGGATGCGTGGATAAGGGGCCTAGGGTGTGATTGAGGGGGAAGTGGAGGGAGGTGATACCATGATATAAAATGTGGGATTACTGTATAGCTACGCTACTATATCTTTTTTTCTTGTTGTTGCGTCTGGTTTGAATACCTATTTATCTATTTACTGTCTCTGTATGGTATGGGGTTGTGGATTGTAGATGTTCATTACGAGTAATATGTGGTATGGTATATTAGAATGCTATGTCTGTCTATGTATGTATGCTCTTCTATAAAAATGGTTAACCAACTCCAACTGCCCCCAATATCACCCTCTGTACAGTCCACCGAGCGGCCAAACCCGCCACTGCCAGTGCCACCGCGCGCAGATACCCGCACCCAAGCAGGATATACAATGCTTCGATATTGCTCAGCAGCACGAGATGCGTGTCCGCCGCTCCCAGAGAGAGCAGTGGCCCAAGCATGTCAATAAAGCTAGCTAGATAGCTGGTAGGTACAGACTCGGGCATGATCCTGATAAGACTTTCCAACAGCGAGGACGAGCCAGGCAGGGAAGAAGTTCCTGACGCAGTCGGGTGAGCTGCGGTGAGAGTCGCTGCAGGGCCGATGCCGTTGCCATCTAATGTCTGCTGGATGATAGTTGTCTGGCTGCCGGCGCTGAGCAGGGTGTTGTTGGACCCGGAGACATTGGACGCATTTCCGCTGCCGTCAGGGCCCCAGATGACCAGGAGGATAGGGAAGAGCTTCGCGCAACTGCTGACGAGCAAAGCGGTGCTGATGGCGGTAGGGCTGGCTGGTGAAGGGGGCGGAAGGGGTCTGATGCTCTGCGCTGGGGCGGTGGAGGCACGTCGGAGAGGTGGTGGAAGGGTGGTGAAAGATCCTTGGGGCGTTGTGGGAGGGAGATGGTGGATGTCACTGGCTGAAGCGCTGGCTATTGTTGATACATCGTTGGAGGAGCCTTGTGGGGTAAGCTTTGGTGGGCTTAGGGTCGATGCTGGAGTAGGCAAGAGTTGTGTCTGGCTGCTGTTGGTCTGCGATGGGAATGATGGAAGTAATGGGGTGGAAGGGTTGGAGAAGATAGGCGCTTCTGTCGCATTGCCATGCTGAGAAGAGCCAGTGTATCCGCGGGGTGTTGGAGCAAGGATCGATGCCAGAAGCCGGATGGTGAGGTGGTGGGCAAGAGTCGCCAGCGCATTCAGGCTCAGGAAGAAGAGGTATTGGACGATGATAGGCGCGCGCGAAAGAAAGGTAGTTGCGAGTGATGGGGATTTCTCAATCCGTGCCCATGTCAGGTAGACGTCGAATAGGAGTAGTAGAATACCCAGACGGATTATGGAGCGCTAAGCAAATGAGATGTGTTAGTCGCAGATTGCGAATGTAGATAGCGAGCGCTTACATCGAACTGGTTGTCGTCTCCCCCTAGCCGATTGAAAAGTAGATGGCGATACACCTTGATGATCGTCAGCGAGATTATCACCCATGTATGCAATTTACATACCTGCGGCTTGATAAGGACGAGATCAATGAAGATCACGACGAAATCGTGTTCGACGTATTTGTCCGCGAACCGCTGGCAGCGCGGACATTGCGTCAGACGCACCCCTTTACCCAGGGAACGATCATCGGCGCGGCTGTATGTGCTGTATAAATGAGAGACCGGATAGGAGCACTCGATGCAGATGGGCATCGTGTCATTAACTCCTTTTCATAGTGGAGGAGCCCATAATCATGGGGAAGAATTACAGAACCCCGTGGGCGAGACTCCGATGCCCGCAGGAGATGCCGAAGGCGGTGAGTGAATACTGTATAGGATATTCCCCTTAAATGCTTCTCTTGCACCGGGCTTTAACCATACGATAGGCTTGATTATTGTCTAGGACTCATACTGGATACGTCGATTCTTCAGTGCTAACATGGCTCGACAGTACTGTTATTCTACAGCTTGCTTCCTACCACAGGAATGGGTAGGATGTTGTTCCGCTGGCTCTGCAACCGCTCAGTTGTCGTCTTGAACAGACGCGGCAGCCCCGTCTGCTCATACGAGACTCCCTCGACAATCAACTGTGCGATACCCCGGGCTGAGAGAAAGACCTGCGGCATTCCATGTCCGGTAAAGCCGGCAACTATGAGCTGCCCAGGCTTGTTGGGAACATGTCCGACGTGCGGTAGCGAATCGGTGCTATAGCCCATGACTACCCCAAGTTAGCACCCTTCAATCTTATTTTAAAGGTAGGAACGGCATGCGAGATGGATACATACTTCCTGACCAAACCCGGTCTGTATATGCTCCCGTGTTCTCCCACCCATGGAAGTGTCTCTGCATATAGTTGTCGAAATACCGCACTGCCGCCTCAACCGTTCGGCTGTCGTCGGTATTGTTGTACCAGCTATCTCGGTCCTGATAATAGAAGGTCGACTTTGCTCCGCCTACAATGATACTTCCATCCGGCCGGGGAATGAGGTAGTCATAATGCCAGCCATTGAACCGCAGCATATACGAGCGTTCGAGCGGCGATGGAGGTGGATTGGGTACCACAATGCGACTGCAGAATCCTCGCACTGGGATGATCTTGTTCTTGTACTCCGGTGCAATGGACGACGTGTATGCGTTTGTAGAAAAGACGACCCATTTGGCGCGGATTGAGCCACGATCAGTGGTCACCATCCATCGGCCTTCGTCATCCGGGAATTCAGACACTTGCGTGACGGGCGTGTGTGTCTGAAGGTTTACTCCCGCCGACACAGCTTGCCTCAAGAGATGTATAATGAACTTATACGGCCAAAGTCGGGCGGTACGCTGGTTGAAGCAAGCCAAGGCCCCCTTTACACCGGATACCTAGGCGATGTAAGCCGTGCTGTCTTAGGTATGTATGTATGTAGAATGTGACATACGGTCTCTGCCATTTCAGGTGGTGTGTATCCGACATCCTTGATTGTTTCCACACCCTGAGAGACAAGATAATCATACCCGGCCTTGACCTTTGCAAGCTGGTCTTTGTCAAACTGTATATCGCAGACTCGGTTCACCTCTAAGTCGCAATCGATCTTCTCCTTCTTAACCAGATCTTCAATAACGGAGACATGCTCCATCTCAAACGCAGCGACTTCAGCCGCCGCCTCTAATCCGTACTCCTTGGCCAGATTACCGATCCGGTTGAATACATCAGGCTTCAAGTGACCACCTACACGGCAGGGTCCGCCCTGCATTAGATTTGACAGACAGTCTAAATATGGATACAGATGAGTACTTGCCATTGCGCCCCGTAGCCCCCGAGCATGCCTGTCGTGCTTCTAAGATCACAATGGAAGGCTGTTCTGCTGATACGAGTCGGCTGCGCTCGAGACAGTGATAAGCAGTCGAAGCTCCAGCATAGCCGGCGCCTATGATAACGATGTCACTTGTTTCTGGAAGTGACTCTGTAGAGCGAAAGTTATCCAAGGGATCGGGTTCCGACCGCCAGAAGGATGTCAAGCTATGATCAACAGGGAATGGTTTAGCCATCTAGATGCAAGAGAACGGTAACCAGTCCAATTCGCTGCAGCAGACAAAGCAGGAAAGTATATTAAGTTACTATCGATGTTGATTTTATATACGGGGTAAAAGTATCTAGTATGGCGGTTGAGATAAGAATGTCTGCCAGCTCATCGATGCGTTGGTCGGCATTGGACAGAAGCGCCGACGGACTGCAGCGGAGTGTCTGTGCCTCCTTTCCGATATCTGCTAGCGTCGACAGGGGGCTTGGATCCGATAGTCTGGCAAGCTTATCAGATTGCATCTAAGCTGAAGAATCATGGCAGGCCATGATGGCCAGGGTCTGTTGTGCACGAGGTTGTCTCCAGCCCCTCGTGTCGGAAGAAATCCAACGTTGCATTCAATGCATGATGATGCCATGGTTGGAGAAAGCAGAAGGGTCAAAGACAGTAAGTGCACAGCCAGTTACTCCATTGACCAACTCTAGATATTGTCCAGCATGGCAAAATAGATCTGTGCAGATTTACTATTATAGGAAAACATGGATACCTCACAAGGCTACAAGTGATAGGTTGAGGTACAAGAGAGGAACATTCAAAGACTCAGTCCAAATAGGTACGTATCGGTAACCTCCACGGTAACGTGGCCCCCATCAATGGAGCCAGCCAATTACAAATCATAAAAATTGCATTGCACGGGGCGCATGGACGCGTAATGATACTGTACCGACATGACCTGCAGGAGCCTTTATCAGTACCTGTCCGGTATTGCCCGCTCATCTCGCACTGCCAGCTGAAGGTCAATGTGCTGCCCCGCTTCCCTGTTGTAATGTTGGAACTGAAGGTCCTCACGGGAAATGAACTTAGGGTATCAAGGCATGTAGATGGGCGAGAAGAAAGAAACAGCCATCAGAGTTACTCCAAGCGACGAGAAGAATTGGCATCAGATTTTAGGTCTGGGGAAGGAGACAAGTCCTTCATTCAATCAATCGAGACACCTCTCCACCCCCAGCCAATCACTCCTGACGGAGATCTGTCGCATTCCCTCCGCGTGTGGCAAACCAAACCAAATCAAATCAAACCCACCCCCTCGCTCAATGCAATCTCAATCGCACACAAACTCTGCTTGCGCGACTGATTGATCTCCCTTGTGCGCGTTCCAGAAAGGCTCCCCCCGGTTTCTCCTTGACGCCTGCCCAGCTCGAGTCATTAACCCAGTTCCTGCCTGCTTGAAACTCTTTCCCATCTCCACCTCTCCTCTAGTACTTGAGCTTCTGGAATCGCAATCACCACTTTGCTTCCCCCCGAGGCTTATCGGCCGCATTAAGCTAAATCGATCCCCACCCGGTTTTCTAGGCTTTCCCGAGCACTTCGTACCCCTCGATTCCCTTTTCTCGTCCCGTCTTTTTACCTTCCGGTCAACCCTCGGCCTTGATTCTCTCCTTGTCACGTTGCCTTTCTTTTCACCCTTCGTTTTTTCTTTCTCCCTGGCCCGAGTGTTGCGCCATCGCTTTTTACACTGCCCCACTACTCCTCAACTCCCGTGAATACCTACATCATGTCCGACCAGGCCAACTCTCACTACCAGGAACCCATTAACGGGCTCAAGCCGTTATCA